TTTGATGAGAATATGTGGACAGGCATTCGGAGAATTCTCAATAGAATCAACAACAAAACTAATGGAAAATTAATAATTCACAAGGAATTCCAGTGTTCTACCAGAACTGATTATTCATAAAATATGGAATGTTATAACTATATTAATGGATATTTTTGTTTTAATTCAGCGAGAGGTAATAACTCAGCAACGATCGAGGTTCGCGTGAGACCGCCGATTGCACAATGGCGATATCGCTTGGACATCCTTGCTGACGGCCGTAAGATTTACTTCGATAGACAATCTTTGAAGTTTCAGCACTTCCCTGGTGTTGTTGTTTATACGCCAACATATATTTTGAATCAAAGTGAAGTCATAATTATGTTTGATACTGGGGCTGGAGTTGAAGTGGTGGAAAATCAGGGTTTCATGACCGCGAGAGTTTATCTGCCGTGGACGTACATGGTGAGTAATTTCTAACTCAACCTTCTATCAATATTATTTTCAACAAATAAGTCGAAAAACCCATACCGCACTTGTTGCGTAATATGAAATACTCATCAAGCTGTAACATGCCATTAGCTTCTGACGATTTCTCGTCTACGAATTGATACAATATACTTTCTAAACTCGAAAACTTGAAAATAAAAAGATAAACAATATAAAAATATTGTCCAGACTTTTAGGATGGGGTTTTTATAATTTAAAAAACCTCACCCTGACAACCCGGAAATATACTATTTGGAACTTTTCTACATTCGTATCGAGATATTCGAATGTCGCATCCAATTGAAATAATTGAAATAAGATAACTTATTTTCCAATGAATACATTCAAATGAATTCAATAATTTTCATACTGAAACTGGTGAAGTAACCACAACTAACGCGTCCTCAATTAATCAAATTGCAGAATAAAACGAGAGGACTGATGGGTAATTGGAGTAATGAGAAAGCCGACGACTTCACTCGACCTGACGGTCAAGTTGCACCATTGAGTCTAGACAGTTTCGAGGAAATTCATAAGAACTTTGGTATGCACTGGATGCTGGAAGATAAAGAGGATAAGTACAAAGGAGCTGCATTGTTCACTAGAGAATTTGGTAGAACAGCGAGTTACTATGCCAATGTAACATTTGAGCCGGAGTGGAAGAGGAGTCCTCAGGATATATTATCATCGAATCAGTAAGATTATTATTGTTTTCGTAACCATAACTAATTTTGGTTCATAACTGATTAGTGTTTGACGACACTAGAAAAAATTACCATCTTTATTTCCGGAAATTTTTACTCCTATACGATTAATCTTGATATTTTACTAATTATATTATTGTGATTATGATGACTTGATCATGATTATGATTATCATTTGAAAACATCACAATTAGTAAATTATCAGCTGTAAATAAATGTTCTTAATATTCTTTAATGGTAATTAAACATGTACAATTACAAACGTCGACAAAATGTGTGCGCAAAAAATCTCGAATTCTCATGATTTGGGTTTTTCGTAAATCCTGTTTGTCAGTAATTATCTACGTATTCTCGATCGAATGCATTTCTTTATAATTTGACTTAATTACTATTTACAGGACAGAAGAACTAAAATTTGCTAGCGAGCTGTGCGGGGAGACATATCAGTGCAAATACGATTATGCATTGACGTTAAATCGAGATCTGGCCCATTTCACCAAGAATTATTACGATACAGTTACTCAACTTAAAGCACTCAATTCTAAACCAAGTGAGTGTCCGAGGAATGATGTAGATTCTCCAAAAAATAATTTACTCATCATTATGTTTATTTCAGCTATTTCTTGTGGTGTTTTGGAGACTCCGAGATTCGGGAGGAAGAGCAATTTTCTATTCATACCCGATACAAAAGTGACGTTCGAGTGTAATCAAGGGTTTATACTCGTTGGAGACCAGAGGAGAAGATGCGAAGCGAATGGACGATGGGATGTCTCAGAATATGGCTACACGGAGTGTCTCCGTAAGTACATTGTTTAAATTATTAGTAAAAACTTAATAAACAAAAAGAAATCGTTTCCTGAGTTTTTTCACCAGAAAATTATTTCTATTGTCAGTTATTATAATGTATTATTGTTCCAGTTAAGGCCCGGATGGACTGTCTGGAAAAGATAATTTACTCCAAAATTGGGACTTCTAATTACTCCGTCAATTAATCGTTTTTTCCGATAATTGTTAGCTAGCGGCCTAGTTGTTGACAACCGCTAGAACGCTAGCTAACAATTATTGAAAAAAATGATTAATTGCCAAAGTAATTAGGAATCCGAATTTCGGAGTAAATTATCTTTTCTAGATAATCCACCCGAGCCTTAAAGAAGAATTTAATATTTTCTTCATCCAAACAATTTTCGTCATTAGCAAGGAAAAGAAATTTTAATCTCATTTTATTTTCGTCCCGCGTTATTAAATAATTAAGTTTCCGAGGTTGATGAGAGAAGAACAAGATAATCAAAGAATTACGGACATTTCTCTAAGCTTGGCTTGTGTCAGAGAACAGGGTTGTAGGGAGGGTGGGGTAATATGGAATTCTCAGGTAAAATGAACACTTTCATTCCTTCATTGTTTTTCCCTCAAAATTATGAAGATACTTGTACATGTAGTTTCCCATCATTCCATAATCAATCCATAAATATTGGATAATACCATAAATCTTCTTCTTCTTCTTCTTCTTCTTCCAATTGCATGGGGCTTTCGTATTTTGCACGATTTGGAAAGAAATGCTGTTGGAGTGCTCTTTCGACTCTGTGGAGTGAATTTTCTAGAGTAAAGTGATCTCTGAAGTTGAAATACGGTGTAGATCTTGCAGAGCTTGAAACTCATGAAAAAATGGAAATGATGAAGAGTTTTGAATAATCAATAAATAATTAATGAAGGGCTAAGAACATAAGACAATTGCGTTCCCGATATCAAACCGTTAAAATGTATTGAAAGGAATTTCATAAGGTGTTCACAAAACATGCTAATTAATTAAAAACGGCTGTAGGTCAGGTCGAGTATTCTCAGCGTACAGCCTGGACGACAATGGGAATCATAGGTGCTGTACTTGTGCCAGTAGTTGTACTCATAGCTGCAGTCTATTTTTGTTTGCATAAAGAGAGAAAACGAGAGAGCTCAACTAGATCCTGGCATTTTTCTGATCGTGGCTCAGGGCCTTCCTCATTGTCGCGCCAAACTACACCTGTCAAATCATTTGAAAGGGCTGTATCTCCTCAGAGTGATAACAGTACCATTGCAAGTAGTAGTCTGACTAAACGCCGGTTGTATGATAAAGTTTATTATACACATGAGCCACTACCTAACAAGCCGGATGTCGAGTTCGAGGAGAAAGACTGGGATCTCAAAGATTCTCCATCACCCACTGAATCAGATTCCACCAATAATAGCACAAGGAAGACCGCGAGTCCTAGCAAGGAAAGCGATGTTTAGGTTTCATTCCCAAATATCATCCGAACTGTATCAATCCAGTAGATGAATTCTTTTCAATTTCTCACTATAATTAGTTCATTAATAAGAGAATACTTTTTTTATAAAGAATATTAATTGAAGCTGCCAATTTCGTAAATTTTTTAAAGAGCATATTACCAAACAATTACATCTACATTTTTCTCTCATAATCGAGTGGCTTCAATTTATGTAGAAGCAAGTATCATTTCTGTTATTGAGTGTTATTATTTGGTCAACGACGACAGATTAAGTGTATGACCAATTGATTAATTAAAATAGGTGCATAATAGTGTGGAAATAATTTTAAGGGTGTGGAACACCAATATATAGGTCAAATTTTGGTAAATGTTTTTTCATTTCTCTGGGAAACTTATTATGGGATTGGCATGAAAAAAATATAACGTTTTTGCGTTTTGTCATTATTTAATGACTCACCAAGTTTCAATACGGAATCGAAAAATCGGTCAAATGGAAGGCTTCCATTCGGAAGCAAAAATACCGGAACATGAAGAGCAGCTTGAGGATTCATTTTTATTGTTGTTCTGATTCTTGGGTGTCTTAGATTTTTGAAGGTTCGTCTAGGTGACTGATTCAATGATATCGGAAAAGTTCGACGAAATTGGCAGCATTTTTTATTATCTCATTCGTTCTCGGTTAAGTCTTAAATAATTTGACAATTGCTCGGATAGTACTGAACAATTTAAAAAAAACATATGACACATATGTAACAAAAAATACTTCAGAAGATTTTTTTCATAAAACATCGGATGACATAATTTTTTAAGCCACACAATCATCGAAATAATTTTCCTACAAAAAAGGTTTCAACAAGTTAAGGCTCGGGTGGATTATCTAGAAAAGATAATTTACTCCGAAATTCGGATTCCTAATTACTTTGGTAATTAATCGTTTTTTTCAATAATTGTTAGCTAGCGTTCTAGCGGTTGTCAACAACTAGGCCGCTAGCTAACAATTATCGGAAAAAACGATTAATTTACGGATTAATTAGAAGTCCCAATTTTGGAGTAAATTATCTTTTCCAGACAATCCATCCGGGCCTTAAATGATCTCCATTATCCAGAAATCAAAGTACCAACATTACCATGTCCCACAATGATGGAAATTCAATTTAAAACATTTTAACGTGTACTAACAGTTTTTAATGTTTCATGAGGATTTTTTTTCCTGTCTACACGAAATGAAAGGATCAATAGAAATTACCTATCTGTTTGATACGGTTGTATTTTAGCCGATCGGGAAAAATTACCGTGCCGCTTAGTAAAATTTGTCAACTGCTTAGTAAAGGCTATTTAACTATTCACCTGGCATTTAGATAATTTTTCCTGAATGATTAGATAACAGTTACTAAGCAGTTAACAAATTTGACCAAACGGTACGGTAATGTTCTCTGATTAGGTCGGTAATCTCTCCTGATTTTTTCTCTCCGTGTAAATTATCATTTTTTCACCTGCGGGGAATTTTATTTCTCATATTTGCATCTCTTTGACTGATCCTTGTTATACCATCATTCCCATTAATATATTCCCATAAATTCTGGTTGTGAGATAGAAAACTCGAAATTCAGGTATTTCTGACAAGCAATTGTATACGCACCTCACGAAGGAAAATGAAACATCAGATTCTAGATTATCCTCTCGCATGCTGCACAGCATCTTATTTCAAATCAAATAAAAAATGTTCAACATCATTTCTATAGCTCTAGACATTAAGCATAACTATGTACCAATGATTAATATATTCGTGTTACCTGTACTTTACAATGTGGAATAGAAAAAGTTGTATCAATAATAAATTTTTAAAAAATGTCCCACATATGTAAATATGCAACAAACCGCCCATTGTATAATTTTGTAAGATTTCATAATAAAATATTCTAAGTATGATTAAAAATAGAAGGAAATTTCTATTCCACAATGACAAAAATACAGTAGACTCGATTAGTTTGTCTTTATGAATTGAGAAATGGTTATTTTAGTTAGTGTGGAGTGGAAATTTCCGTACTGCCTCTACTGAAATTTCCATATCCTCATTTTAATTCCGTTGATATTACCCATAATTAGTTTTACATTGTCACAATAGAAGTTCTAATCAATAGGTCAACAGGAGTACAGTTCTCGACAGGCTGGAATAACGTTTGGAATTATTCTCGGGTGTATAATTCCAATCCTAATGATCATTATCTGCGGAGCATTCAGGGTTGTTCAGGGGAGAAGAAAAGAACGGGAGCAGGAGCAATCGGAAATAAGGTATGATATCGAATTATTAAACATTTTCAACCGATTCCTGATTTTGGATGTTAAGAATATTCTAAAAATGACGGAACATTCACGTAATCCGCAAGCGAGAGTGATTTTAGGTGGATGTCTATAGAAATCTAAGAGAAAAATCTAAAACATTCATTAAATATTCAGATCTGTCCCCAAAGATTACGAAAACACAACGTAATTTTTCTGGAAACTGCGAAGTGTAACAGGGATTTCACGAATTATTATGTTCGACAATTTTTACCTAACATTTTATAAATTTTCCGTGTTTTTCGAGTTATTTTTATTGAAATTTTCTCTCAGTGTATCTTTCCTAAAACTTTCCCGCCGATTTTTTGGCATTTTTCTGGAAAACTTTCGATGCGATTGACGAGAAAGAATATAAAGCCTTTGCCTCTTGTCATTATTTAATGACTCACGAAGTTTCAAGGTGATGTGACAATTTTCCAGCGTTTTTTATTAATTAAATAATGATAACATGTCGAAACGTTAAATTTTATCACGTCAATCGACATGACAATTTCAATTGACAGCTATTTTCCATTTTTTAAGGGCCGGATGGAGTATCTCGGAAAGATAATTTACTCCAAAATTGGGATTCCTAATTACTCCGCCAATTAATTGTTTTTTCCGATAATAATTAGCTAGCGTTCTAGTCGTTGACAACCGCTAGAACTCTAGCTAACAATTATTGAAAAAAAAAACGATTAATTGCCAGAATAATTAGGAATCCCAATTTTGGAGTAAATTATCTTTTCCAGATAATCCAACCGGTCCTTAAAGATACAGTCTAAAAATTTACTGAATAGATTCTTTATACTGTCATCTGATGTTTTCAACACTATATGAAGATAATTAATACGGAAAAAGTTCAACCAAGTGTTTTATGATTGAAATAACGCGACGTAATTAAAATTTGATGAAATTATTTTTCAGATCCCGAACAACAGAATTACAGAGAATGAGAAAAATCGATGAAGATGAAGAACTAACTACTTACCCCAGCAAAACGACTGAAATTAATTAATCACGTTGAATTGTTTTAATTTTTTAAGCACATGTGAGTCCAAAAGATTGAAATCACGTTTACCCATTCAGATTCACGATTAAATTAATTTTTTTATTAATTTTGCTGATAAGACGCTATTAATTTCACAGGATATTCCATTATCTTCAGTCATTTCCTTTCTCCTATGAGTTTTCCCGGAAAATTATCTGTTAATTAATTCTGCTGAATTTTTCCAAATATTTCCGAAGTTTAATTCATAGGATCCATTCTATGACGAAATTCCGGGTAATTAAGTTCAAATTAATTGATAATTAATTGATAGATTGTTGTAATAAGTGAAATTTGATTTACGTTAATTATGATAATAAAAAATATAACATAAACTATTGAGATCTTTTAACTATAGGATAAATGCATTTTTTTTTCAGTGCACACCTTTTTTTAAATGAATAGGTGTAAGGAACGCCTATCATCTATTTGTTAATATGTGGCCGTCCGCATGAAAAGGGCCCACTTTATCGATATGGAGTTAGCGCTATGGGCCAGTGGACCCTTTTTTTTTTCTTTTCAAAAGTCAAAATAATGACTTTCTAGTTAAGATAATTAGATTCAACGCATCTCATTCGACGTAGGAAAAGTGCTAGTTAAGTACAATGTGAATATCTTAGAAATTAGCTTCGACAAAATGGGCCACAAAATTTCCACGGAACAGGGGAATTATTCAGCATTACACTACACCGGAGAGAAAGTATCGCAAATTCGTCAATTATGATTTACGGATTAATTATTCAATTGATTAAACCCGATTCACCGATCTCCGCAATGTCTAAAAAAAAGAAAGCCAATGTATTTATTTCTACTGAAAAAAATAACGTTTATTATTGAGAGTATTCTTAATCGCATTTTATTTACAAAAAATTAAATTTTACATTTAAATATACTCTATACGAAGTCCTGTGATGGAGATATCGTAAATATACTATTCATTCGGAGGTTCGAAGATCTCAAAATTTCGACTGAGTCTCAATCAAACACGAAACACATTATCGTAAAAATGGAAAGAGAAAAAACCGAGAGTGTTTTATCATTGACCACGAAATAAATTATAAAGAGAACAAGAACCAGAATTGTATTTCACGTTTGTTGAATTCATTGAAAGATTTTTTTCAAGACGGTAGAATTATCGAATGGCAGTTTTCGCAGATTGTTGAAATCAGAGTTCTCAGGATTTGCCGCCAAAACCACCCATTAGATTGCCGAGACCACCTGCGCCTTGTTGGATCTGTTTCATCATATTTTGTAGCCCAGACATTCCACCTGCACAAGCAAAGGATGAATTGAAGACAATTGATGAATTAATCATAATTATAAAATTGAACATAATAAAACATAAACCATACCCATTTGATGTAAGACTCTAGGATCCATCATCTTAGCCATTTGCTGATTCAATTTAGCCATTTGGATCTGGTTAACATTCTTGGTCATATCACCACCTTTGAATAGTCCCTTGATTCCTCCCATCCTCTTAACGACAGCTGCAAACTTGGTGTACTGTGCTATCAAGTCCTTGACTTCCTTCTCAGTAACCCCAGAGCCTCTGGCAAGCCTTGTAATTCTTCCAGTTTGTTTGCTGAATAGTTTCGCTCCATCTCTGCTGTCCAACTCTGCATCATTCATACTATCCATTATTGTCATTAGCCTCTTCAATCTTGCCATCGAGTCCTGTTCAGTTCCCTTCGACATAAAATCTTGACTAAAACCAGGTATCATCTGAAGAATCTGTGAGAATGGTCCCATTTTCATAATATTTTGAAACTGCTCGTACATATCACGAAGAGTGAATTGACCATGTTTAATTTTTTCTAGAAGCTCTTCATTATCATCCAGATTGAGTTCATTAACTTTATCGATTAATCCCTCGATATCACCCATTCCTAATAATTTACTAATAAAGGGTTTCGTCTTGAAGGGCTCAAGATCATCTATGTGTTCACCAGTGCCAATAAATATGCAAGGACTTTGGGTAGCAGCAACAGCTGATAATGCACCACCTCCTTTCGCATGCCCATCCAATTTTGTGATTATAATTGAACCAACATTGACTCGATCTTTGAATGCCTTGGCCTGTGCCTCGCAAGCCTGTCCTATCGTAGCGTCCATCACGAAAATTATATTGTCTGGCTGAACAGCATTTGACACTTGTAACATCTCCTCAAAGAGAGACTCTTCTTGTTTGTGTCTACCACTTGTATCAACTATTATAATCTCATAGCCCTCTTTTTTGAACATCTCTACACCATCTTGGGCTATTACCACGGGATCCACCTCTGTATAACTACCATAAAAAGGTATCCGAGCCTTTGTAGCATTCTGTTTGATCTGGTCATAGGCACCCGCACGGAATGTATCAGCACAGACTAAACAAGCCTTCCAATTTTTCTTCAAATAGTGGTACGCTAATTTTGTACAAGTTGTCGTTTTTCCAGATCCTTGGAGTCCCACAAACATTATCACATTAGGGCGACCTTTTACGGGCTGATAGGCTTTCACTCCAGGATCAATTAACTGAGGAAAAAGTTATGAAAATACGTGAATTTTTTATGCAACGGATCTGGATTTATCATTATAAATATTCAATAACTAAAACGATGTTCAATAAATATTTGATTTGTGCATATATCATATGGTGTTCATGTCCTAAAGCTACAGAGACTATATGCTGATAGTAGCCTCTTCAGGAACGGAGCGCTATTTCCAGGAAGCAGAATTTTTCACTTTGAAGAAACTCTTCATTCAACCAAATCAACCAAAATATCGTAGATTGAATAATCAATGGGTTTTTGTTTTTTCAAGGATTAAAAAGAAGTCTCAAAAGACAAAAGATGCTCTATACAGTATAAAATTTTGCTAATGTTATGTATAATGCGTTACCTGCCGTTTTTGGATTAGGCAATCTTTAATTTGTGAAGAAAAGAAAAGAAAAGAAAAGAAAGAAAAGAAGAAAAGTTGACGAGAACGTATTCTAGTAAAAACTATAATAAGTTTTTTATGAAGTGAAGATAGCATTATGCTTGTAAGTAACTCGAAAAGTCAGTTTTTGCAATTATTAACTCGATAAAAAACAGGTAGGGCGTGACAAAACATTGTCATAAAACTCAATCGTCAAAATTTATAAGAAGTATCAATGAAATCAAATTTATACCTCGATTTTTTGCGTAATTTTTCGTACCTCAATAATATAACGTCGACTTTACCTCGATTACATGCGAATTTATCAAATGGCTATTTCGCTCTTCAAAAGATTTTTCAAAATTGGTTAAGTATCCATTTTAGTCCAGTCACATGTGAATTTGATGAGTATTGCGTTTTGTCGTATCCTAGTCATCCTTATTAACCCCTCTTTTCTTATAGTTAATTTATCTGTAATAATTATTAGTTCTTTTACCTTGACAAGTTCTTTAAAAACTGCACTTTGTATCATCCGGCGTTTATTGAGTCCTCCAGCCATATCCTCAAAGTCAATAACCGTACGAACATTTTCCCGCAGTTTTTTGACAAGTCGAATGTTGACATCAGCTTCTAGAAGAGCAGCACAAATCTCTTTGAGCATAGAATTCAGAACCTGCAAAAAATATCCACAAAAATGATAAAAACCATAAAATCTCCTAAAGTGAGTGAGCAGAGACGACATGAGAATATTTTCAACTCAATTTGTAAACATTGTAGTATCACATCTCTTATCGAAAATATTTATAAAAAAATCATAACTTTCCTTCTTATAATTTTCATACATTTTACGTGCAATATTTACAATAATGGTCAGCCCATCTGTTTAACAAAAATATTAACTTTTGCTCACCTCTTCATTGATGACAGTTGCATTGCTCAACGATCGTAGAGCGGACGTTATTTTACGTCCTAAATCTGCTAAAACCATTTTTCCTTCGTGTCTTCACGCTTGTTTACTCCACTAAAAAATGTTGCCACTAATTGTAACGTTTATTAGTATGAGGGGAAAAGGCCCAAGTAGTTTTGGAAAATTGGTACCACCAAAGTATCGAATATAACCAATAAGGTCTCCTAATCGTGGTAGACACTGTACGAGACAGTGGAGCGACGAGCGATCGAGGGCCAACTCGACATATGACGATATTTCCGGTTTCACAGTATATACATACATATATACCAAATTAATGTATAAATACTGCGCAACTCGCTTCTACCATCTTTCTCCTCTCCAATCTCAGGCGTAGACTGCTCAGGGAATTATACTCTTGGTTCAGCACTGGTATTTCCGGTATTTCTTATTTTGCAAAACGAATATTCCAATACAGACTTTTTTTTATAGTGAACGTCCTGAAATAGTTGCTGTCGCATACGACATAACTGTTTCTGTGAAAAGTTCATGCGCGGTAAAATCAGAAAAAACGGCCGCGATTAAAGCACTTTTTTTGCCAACTATATACTATTATATAAATATAGTATAATATAATATAAAAATAAAAATATTACATATTATTATATAAAAAAAAATAATATATATAAAATTAATATAATTTATATATATATATATTATATATATATATATATCATATTATATAGATATATTTTGATATGCATAGCGCCAAAAAAAGCTGACAAAAACCGTTACATGCTTTTTTTTAAAAGGGATATATAATATAGTCTCACTTAATTGATTGCATTATGTATGGACAGCTACACTATAACTATATATTTTTTACATTCTAATTATGTTTAATTATGGGAATTTATGAACTTCTTGGAATTATTCCTCGAAAACAAAATGATCAATTCCATTTTTTCAGATGTATTCAATGATGAGACTTCTAACCCAAACCATTTTTAATTGAAAAACAATCGAGCCGTTGATTTTTCTCACTTATAATTCCTGCCGCTCTATTTAAATACGTAATATTTAAATACTGAGAATGTACCCAAATTTCAGAGATTTCTGTCTCGAGATCGAAACGAATGATTTCAAACAGAACTTGATCATTTTGCAGCCACTTTTTTCAACTATGCACCATCAAAATTTAAACAAAAACTGCGGAGTAAATATTTTATACGGCAATTTTCTGGGGATTTTTAAAAAGTTCTTTATCTTTTCTGCATTAATGATCAATCACAGTGAATTGCAATTATGTATATATTCATTATTACATGAGAATACAAGATACTCTATTATGCTACTATTTTAATTCCACTAAAATCCATTACATCATAAAAAATAGGAAAATCGTTTTGAAAAAATCACTAGATTTGGCATCCCTGGTGTTGTGTCCTCCAATCGTCACTTCGCCAGTTATCATAGGAGCAGCATAGCAAGCAGCACGCGAAAACTATAAGAAAATCAAGGGTAAAAGTGCGTCTCAAAAAGTGATCTATCATTATCATATTGTGAACATAATCTTAATTCTTTTAATTTTTTCCCAGAGAATAAAAATCACAATGTCGCTGTGGCGTTTATCGCCATCGACAAAACTTCTGGAGTCATTGGTGAAAGTTTCGCAGAGTACTCCATGTGTTTCTTATCACGCCAATGTAAATATAACCTAAAATAATAATGAAAATGTTTCGCAATGTTATGAAATTTTTCATCAAGACTTGGTGTTGTATTTTGTCGATAATTTCAGGTGTTGGATCACTATGAGAATCCGAGGAATGTTGGAGCTCTGGACAAGAATGACAAACAAGTGGGAACTGGACTGGTTGGGGCACCGGCATGTGGAGATGTTATGAAATTGCAGATCAAAGTTGATGATAATGGAAAAATTATTGATGCCAAGTTTAAGACCTTCGGATGTGGTTCGGCGATTGCTTCTAGCTCCCTTGCTACGGAATGGGTCAAAGGAAAAACGGTATGCCACATTGTTTTTACTTCTGAAAATACTTAGAAATTATTTTTGTTTCTACTTTTGGTGGTTTCCTAATAGGTTGATGAAGCTTTGAGATTGAAGAACACAGACATTGCTAAGGAGCTCTGCCTCCCGCCTGTCAAGCTACACTGTTCAAGTAAGCATGGTTATGTAAAAAATATAGGTGATCGTGAAAAATATACCGGTTTTAGATATTATCACTATTTGATGACTCACGAATTTTTTAAGTCATGCACTTATTTTTCTAAATTTTTGATAAAGTTTTATGAATTTTAATAAAACTTTGCTGAGAAAATAGGAAAACTCTTCTACAGTGATAAAACTTCATGATGCATTGAATAATAATAAAACTTAGATGCGTGATATAACGTTGATGAAAAGTTGAATAAATACTCTTATATTTTCAGTGCTTGCAGAGGACGCAATAAAGGCAGCACTCTCCGATTATCGAATCAAACAACAAGACCCGAAAGATGCAAAATAAAATTGGCAAACCTAATCTAGTGATAAAATAACACTTGAATTTTGAGCAAGTTTTGAGAGTTATATATTCCAGAAATAATTAAATATGTACACGCGTATATTGTATTGTGTATAAAAGTGATTAAATTATATAAATAAGAAATGCTGCATTCACTTGAAATTCTTTATTGTACAAGTGCTCCAAAGTACTCGAAAATTGTTTTGCACATCCCAGTGGGAAGTTAAAGCCTTTATCTTCTGTTTTCTACACATATTGACATTTTTTTCACGAATGTGTGACTTCTTCAGGAGGGGCAGTAGGGAGAAGACTGGGCGCATCTTTCGCACACTGGTACAGCACGTTGAGATGAGTGTCCTGGTAAAGATGTAAATGTATCCTTGTCTGGCATGCAACGTGTGCAGAATACATGTCCGCATGACCAACAGTGATTCTGTCAAAAAGATATCGCTTATTATTACCAACGTCATTAGAAAACGCTTATACAAATGCGTCTTGATTAATTTTCATTAATATAACAATAACAATAAAAAGTAAATTTGAATGTCGCGCTTTTTTGAACGAATTTGCGGAATTTCAAATGGAATAAAACAAAAATTAAATTAAATAAATGAAATGAGTAAGATAATCCATGCATGAATATCCCTCAGAGTCAAAAATCAGTCTACAAATATTGTAATTATATCTTTGAATTGAAAGGAGATGGATGATATGTCTTACCTTTTTTCTAAATGCATCGAAGGTAATAGAACACTTGCACTGCTTTACTTTACTGCTCGATATCCACTCAACAGCAACAGTCTTCATCTCCCCCTCGATTTCCTGCAACGTAATTTTGGTTTTCTCCAGCTCCACTTGACTCAACTCCTTGTCTACGATGATCTCTTCGGCCTCTGAACTAAATTTATCCTTATCATAATTATACTTTGGTTCAGAATGATTTTTCTTACTCCCGATAATGCCAAGTCCATTGATCCTCTTAATGAGAAATTTCACATGATCTTCCAAACTCAATGTATGATTATGAACTGTCAGCAAAAAATCTTGGCCAGTCTCTCTCGCATGAATTCCATTCTCAAACCTGAAATACATTCCCCTCCACAATTCAATACACTGCGGCGATAATTTCGGTTCAAGCACCTTATTACACTCATCTTTGAACTTATTGCAAGCATATAGAGGATTAATAAACTCATTAATTTGCGTGGCAATATCTCCCCAGAGGGATCTTGTTCTCTCAGACAATTTAAGTAAGTCCCTCTCCTTCTCACTGTTTCCAACAAAAGTTCCATGCTCACAGCTGTGCACGTTATCATGCAAATTCAATAGAAAATACTCATTAAACTGGAACATATAAGGATATTGTCGATAAAGCTGATAAGTAGCATCAATAAATTGTGTAAAAATTGGAGCTAACTCTTTTGGATCTCCTGTAATATGTCCACATCTATCAGTAAATTTATGTCCGAATGAAAGCCAATCCTTTTCGATTAGAGCCTGAAAGCCCTGAATAGTCCTGTAGAAAGGATCTAGTAGCAATGCAGCAATGGAGCAAACCTGAGCGGTTCTGTCCCAACCATCGCTGCAATGAATAACCACACTTATTCCATTCGATATAGCTTTAGCAATGAACCAGCCAGTTTCCAAAATCGATCTGATGTGTTTCAGCCAGCCACTGCTCTCTAATCCCTTCAAAAATGCAGACATCGATGATGTTCTCTGCAGCTCCATCAATTTTGCCAGGCTTGTTCTCATTACATGAATATTTTCAATGCCGAAGAAACGAAATTTTATGTTGTCATAGAAATTCTCGTTCTCGTAACCTTTCCCAGCTGCTCTATTTGCCATGGCGTTTATTCGCGGCCTTGAGTCCACTACGTACATGAATTTCGACGTTGGATTCGTGCAGAGAATGTGATAGAGCATTTGTTCATCCTCTGGACATCTTGCGTTGAGGCCTGAGAGAGGCTGGCTGCATCTGCAGATAGCTGCTTTGTTGGAGTGAAGATAAGTCAAGACTGGGAGTCTTCCTTTGCTTCTGAACTTTGCTGAACCTGAGAGGATACTATTTGTACAGGTTGAGGGTACGTAGATGTAACGAGGGTATGTATCGCAAAGTTCATAGTTTGAGTTTAGATAAGAAAGTGCCCACTCGCTGTTGGGGAGGCCCTGGCGTTGATACTCGGATTGGATATCAAATAGACTCCAACCGTCTGAATTGCTTCGGGTGTTGCCAGCTCGGTAGGCGTTGAAGCAGTAAAGATCCTCGATTCTCGATGGCGAGGAGAGACGCATGAGGGTCACGTATATATCATGGCAGTCACGTTCTTTTGTTATTATGAAGATTATTGTTAGAAAGTGCTTGCAGCGAATGTGCAGTGGAGATCCGGCTGTCGTCAGAGGTTGTTTCTCAATGGATGCTATGTGAGTGTTTAAAACCTATGGAAGAGAGCAAATTGAAAATTGTTATTCAGAAGAGAACTATTCAGAATTGTTATTCGGGAGTTGCAAAAAAATTGTAAATGTCTAGAACTCTTTCACCAGAAACAACCAGAGGCACCCGAGAATATTTATCATATATTTATGAGTCGTTCTAGACTTCTACCAAAGAATCATCGTTTAAAATCATATAATTTCTTTCATATTCTGGACAAATTTTTTCATTGTATATTTTTCTGTACTTTATTAACGTAAGGATCTCTATATTTTCCTGTGGTTTCATCATCTGCTATTGGGGGATTGGATTCTGACAACAAACAAAATATTTTTTTGCGTTAACCATTAATTTATAGATGCGTGGAATGAAAGAAAATCGTAAAGATCCTCACGTCAACAGATTACGATGTTTGGAGTTCAAGAGATCCTTTTTTTAAGGATACATTCCTGGCATTCTACAAAATTTCCTCATTTTTACGATTGACGCGCAAACATATACCCGAAGCTTTATCGTTATGGAATGACTGACAAAGTCTCATTATCGTGCGATAGGGTAACACCCCCTATTGATGGAGACCGCCAGTAGATAGACACTTCCATATTTCCCTCAATATTACATAAAAAGTAATGAGATCATTTTTAAAATAGTCTATCTATCCAATAAAAACACTCGTATCAAACTATTTGATAGACATTTTTGAATAAACAAAAAAGAATTGTTAACCGTCGATTTACTAGTCATATTATCCTAATTTGTCGCTTTGACTAAATTATTTTTCGGAAAGTCCCACAAGTTTAGAAAAAATACTAAAAAATAATTACACAGCCATGAAAGTTGCTGACTTATTGAATAAGGCTCAAAATAAAAAAAGGATATGTTTTTCGGCGTCAATCTGCTCAAGACTTCACCAAGAATTTCTGAAAAACCTGAAGAATGGTGGAATGCCAGCAATCCAATACCACATCTTTGAGGATAATTTCTGTCATCCCATACCCAAATCTGCTTCTTTGCAACCGGATCCGTGAATACGAAGTGTGTAGCAGTGAGATACAGAGTGCCTACCAGATGATTATTACTGTACCTATCCATCAGCCTCACATTTTCCACCTGAAAACCAAATTAAGCCATGAAACCTGAAAACAGTACGAAAACAAATCCAGCAAACTCAACAATCCTCAAAGGTATACAACTTGTTTCAAGGTTTATTTATGTCTTAAAAACCTTTTCACATTATAAATTAATCTAAATGGACTTTCTAAACTTCTCAAAAGGCACTTATAACTCCATTCATACCTCGAAAAAAGCTCAAAGTTACAATTTTTCTCATGTTTTCCTACATCTTTAAAAATTATGACAACACAATTTGATAATAACAAATATTCTACGGGTTTTATATTCAGTAGCAAAATCAACGATAATATTATAAACTACCCCTTACCTTTCCCGTTTCAATCTGAGCCATTCTTCAAGTTTTCTTCACCAAGAATTACTTAAGCCAAACCTTGAATACCTTTCATTAAAACTAAAATACTGACAATCACTCGTATCACCTGAGAACTAATTGAATAAAAAAGACTAATTGAATCATAACCTTCAACCATAAGTTAAAAGACTTTGGGTGCAATAAAGCGAACCCTCGTGAGGCTCGCTATTTCCACATGATAAGATTTGTTTATCCGGAATTACAATGACAATCGGTGTTCTCTGATGAGCCAATATATTATCATGTGTGAAGTAATGATTTAAGGGGAGAGGGTGAACAGCAGTGATCGCTTCAATAGATGAGAGCTTTGACAATGTACCTATGTACACGTGCACACAGCAATAACAGATCCACATATCAACATATCAATTTCTGTACACACTGCCAACGTCGAAACACATATGACATTGTTGCCAGATGGATTTTGGATTTTTGGATTTGACAGATGAATTTTTCCCCATTTTTTTTTCCATTTTTTTTCCATTTTTTTAAATTTTAAGCATCTAAACCATATTGTTTATTCTGCTCGATAAAAAATTTACAGAAATGAGTCAAAAATGTTGATTAGGGGAGTGCGGGTCAATGTGGACATGCTTTTATTTAAATTTGTGTAGTACGAATAAAGACTCAAAAGTCATTCTCGGATTAGTGAGAGACTATATGATGAGCCCTTCATTTAATTATTATCAAGTTGAATGTCAAATGGATGCTTTCAAAAAAAATTATTTATTAAATTGCATAATGTAATGAATTGACTTAATGAATGTAGTATCAAACAAAACATCAATGAAGCACATCAGATCAAAATCATAAGCCCATTCGTTGACATACATTATTATCAGCGATTTTTTTTCATTATTTGTGTTTTTTAATTTTTGGAGAATCTCACTTAACAGTCAATCGATTAATTGCTAAATATTCAATTTGTCTCTTTGTTCGTTAAAATCTAGAAAAAATTAAAAGTTTCAGAATCAAACAGTCTGTATCACCGCAGCATCCCTTACAGTTTACGTCTTCAAAAAACGTTGTCGGTTTTTTAAAAATGGAGATCGTGGTAAGATCTGAATGAGATATTAACTGTCGTTTGAAAAGTGTCAATTCTTCACGACTTAATTCCCGACGATTAATTGTGACTGAGATTAAATAACGTTTTTTAAACGAACCGCCATCTTGCAATTACGACGTGTGACAGGTTTATGTCTGGTTTTTTGCTGGGCTATATTGGCACTATGACGTTATTCGGGTTTAGTGGGTTTACATAGTACAATAGTACTTTAGTGTGTTGGGAAGTCTGGACAACTGATACCAACCATAAATACCTACCATAACCAACTCTGCTGTTCCACTGGTCAATAGTTGTTGTTCCCACTTCTTCTTCACGGAATTAAAATCACCGATACATTTTTCTCGAGTATTTCACATCCTCAGTGATATTTTTTAAGTAATTTTTCAATCACCTGTTTAATACTTGAGGCACCCACCGTATTTTGCGCATGTGTCTTTTTATTTTATATACATTTATGAGAAAATCCATATAAGTGTTGAGTCTGAGGCCGTTCTGGGTGGTTTAGAGGTAGAACCAAAAAAAAATCAAGAGAAATATTTGGTGTGATTTTTTCAATGAATATTTGAGGAGGGAATGAGGACCAACTGCATCACGATCGATCTTTCTGGTGAGTATATTATTACGAGTTTAATCAGTTTTCAACTTTTTTACCCTGAAATTTCGAGAGTATTCTGTATTCATCAAAAAATAAAAAAAAACAATTTTTGTCTTCTTCTGGTTGAGGATTTATGGCTGTTCTTAACAATTGTGAGATAGGAGGGATGTGAATTATTTCAATCAATCTTTCAATTAATTCAGGTTGATTGATTAATTTAGCTGATTATAATAAGATAAATGTTTTTGTTCTCCTTTTCCTGCTTGTTGTCGATTTTTTAAATCGGTTAAAGGCTTTTAATTTGTTTATTGATAGAATCTTTTCCGGTTGTAGTAAAAAAAGTTGCCATTTCCTGATAAATGGTGTTTTGAGGGATTATGATTGGCATCATTCGAAACGCCCCAGTAGAAATTCATTAATCTATTCATGCTCTTCAGCATGCGCGGTAATTAAACACCTAATGCTGTATAACCTTGAACTGGCCTTCGATGCACCGAAGTGGCACATTTGTTCAAGTTCGGTTAGAAATAGGGCACGATAATTATAAAGGATTCTTGAGAATTCCACTGTACGAAAACTCATACTCTTATTGTTTATTAATTCTGTTGGTATAAAGTTGCTAATTAGCTCGATTTAGATGCAACTAAATGAATCAATTGAAGATGGAAATGTCGAAGAGAGAAATGGCAGAAACACCGATTTTTAGAGAAATAGATCGGCGAAGTTTCTAACGGCTAGTAATATTGTTAATTAAGAACAGATAAAATATTAATGCAATAGATGGATGCCAAACAGATTTATAACTTTTTTTATACTATTTTTGGTAATAATAAGAATTGTCTAGGAGAGGATAGATCAATGGAGATGAGTTTGATTATATTAAATCAGTAGCGAAATTAAATTAGTACAAGTGCGTTTATTCGATGCCAGTTAACTACAAAAAGGGCTTTTATGGAAATTATTACTATCTTCTGTTGATTTTGAGATACTAGCAAAATACTGGCCTCGAAAAAAATTCACTTATTCTAGTTCGCCACTTCGCAACAGAAATATACTGTTTTAACTGCGTTTCCGGGGTATCAAAGCAAAAATATTATCGGAAGACTCCGTCAAAAGAGATAGAATTTAAGACAAAACGGTAAAACAGAGATTTCAATTTTTCCCCTAATTTCCGGTGTTTCACTAATATAATTCAAGATCTGACTTTACTCTGCGTAAATCTGAATCTAGCAAGTCTTAATTTTATCTCAAAACTCTTTTTAAAATTTGAATCTGCAAAGGTACAATTTTTTTGACATTGCTACGTTCACCCCGTGCCGTAAAGTGCTTTTTCGTTCACTCGTAAACAAAAAGTAAACGGAAAAGCTTTTCGCTTGTTAGTAAACGAAAAGAGGACAGGTCGGCATTCGCTGGGCGTAAAATCGCTGTCGAAATAATATATTTCATGACGATGTGCCAAAAAGTAAGTGTTGTGAAGAAAAATATCATTCGGAACTCGTGCGTAAAGTGGTTTTTGGCATGTGAGATTATAGCCCTCGCCTATATATCGTGCTATAAACTCCCAGGAGCTGAAGAACACTTTGCTCAGCTCACTCGTATTGAAATACACTATTTTTTAACATTAATCATTTTATCCTAAGATATAAAAATATCTAAACTTGGCGACGGTAGTGGTCAGCCGATTATTGTGCGGTTCTGGTGGTCGAGTGGACTAAATAATGTTAAATCTCTTTAGCACTTGTTTTCCTCACTGGCTAGATTTTAAAGATGCTCTAGGATGTTTTTCCTTTTTATCATTATCTAATGACTCACAAATTTTCAAGGTGGTGCGAATATTGCTCTGCACTTTTTTGAAACTTAAAAAGAATCATAAAACTAGGAAAAACACATGAAAATTATGTCATTACCACGAAATTTCATGAGCCATTAAATAATAACAAAACGTAAAAATTGTATAGGTTTCAAGGCAATGGGTGTGGAATATTCTTGGGGAGTTATTTCCGAAATCTTCTCATTTTTCGTGATTCTTGTAAATATGCGGAGACCCTGGATTAGATTGACGTGAAAAAATGTATCGTTTTATAGTTTTATCACTTACAAATTTTCATAGTCGTGCGTCTATTCTCTTGATAGTCGGTAGGTTTGGGAATTTTTGTAAAAGTTTACTGAGAAAGTAAAAATTCTTTTACAGCTCTAAAACTTCATGAGGCATTGATCAATAATAAAACTTTAAAAAGGTATATTTTTTCCGTTAATTTTATCAACCGTTTCTCTGAAATATAATAATTAAAAATATCGGTAATAACTCCTTAAATCTGGAAATATAAAAACATGGAAAGAGTGGATTTTGGATCCGGGAAAAATTGGGAAGTCCAACAGCTATGATTATCAATATCCTGCATGAATTTCAACGAAAGTTCATGTTTTCGAGTGAAACACCTGTCGAAGTTGCAGCGATGATAATTTTTTCCCTTCGTAGACTTTTCATTCTTTTTTTGATTTCTGCGCGGGTTTCGCTGGGATAAAGAGAACAACTAGCGCCGCACTGCGGTTGCTTCAATATCGCGGACACAAATGTCACAAATTTGGGTGAGTGTCAGGGACCTGCTCGAGGGTTAACTTTTTTCTCAATCTATTGATTCTAGGTAAGAAATACATTCGCTCATTAGGTTCGTTAATTCTGCAGATATTCGATATGAAAATCTATACCGCTGACCTCTGAACTTGTTCTATCAAATGTCCTCTGTGCCCTTTGTTTCATAAAACATTCAAATCTTCACCCTGTAATTCTCTATTATTTATTTTTTTATTACTGGATATACTGGATATGCTATTTATTTTATAATACAAAGAGTGAACAGGGAGAAATGATAAAAATTGAAGGTACGGAATTGCCCTATGGATTTTGTCGGTGTATATTCTATTTGTTTTATAGCAATGGTATTTTCAGATTATAAATTTTGAAGTGAAGTGCGCCAACAAATTTCTTATTCATAAAAAATTCTTCTTTTTCTCAATTCTCACTTCCGCAATTCAGTTCATGTTTTTTCTCAGCCAATTTCTTTCTTTTGTCGAAAATCCTCGATGAACTTCATTTAATACTCGCTTAATTATAAATTATTAGAAATTAACCATTTATTTTTGCAAAAGTTATAAACCTGTATTAAAGAATTATGACAGATTATCACCAGGAGAAGGGAAAAATGACATTCAATTGTCTGAAGTCTCGTTTATATTCCTTCATTTTCAATTGATATGGGTAATCATTTTTCGAATATGCCACAAAAATTTTTTTTTTATCTCAAAACATTATGCTGTAAATGGACACGGACTGACGTGATTTTCACACTGAGAAAAAAAATACTTTCGCCAGAGAAATTTCCTGATTTCTAAGATATGTCCACGGAAATCGACACATCAAATGTAAATATTTATACACAATCACGTGTACCAAATGAATTCATTCGGGAGAATCAAGTTATTATATTCTAGCAGCAATATTTTTTTTCTCAATGCATGATAATGTGACTATCTCAAATTTCGAAGGCATTTTAAATCCTTGGCAGTAACATTTTTTGAGAAATCGTTGAACAATAGATTTTTGAAAATATATGGAAATCGCACAGAATTTGTGCTGAATCCATTTCTCTGCATTCATATAAAAATTCAGTAAACTGCATTGATCTCATCTGGACGACATGAAAAAAATGGCTCCACAGATACAAACAGGCAGTATTTATAAATCCCATATTTGAGTTTCGCAGATGATATTTAGTTATCGAGAGGAGATAATCCCTTTTAAAATCTGGTATAGAGATGATAATCAACTGAAGTCCTATCAAATTTGTTGAAATCCCACGAAACTTTGAGGAGAATTCCATGAATTCCACGGAACTGTTAGTGCCATTCCGTATTCATAAAAAAATATTAAAGAGAAATTCACACACGAATCAAACGAATAATCCAGAACAGCATAAAGAATATAAAGAATATAAATGGCTGTAAATTCTCATAAATTGAATTTCCTTGAAATTCCTTGAAATCCTTGAAGTCCCTTGCCCTTCTTGAAATTTTGAAATCATGACATCATGAAATCTAGTACACCCGTTTTTTTAGAGTGATTGCCCCTCGAATTACCGTGACCTAGAAAATGATAAACTTAAATTTTGAGAAAAACAAAGCTTCAATTCCAAAATAAAAAAAAAAGACAACTAGAGCCCCTCCCGCGCACTTGCCCCTCCCCCTTATAAGTTGTAACTTCGCGCGGCCATAATAATAGTTGCATTCGTGATCTCTCGGCTCCTCGATTCGCCTTCCAAAGTTATAACCCAAAAGATCTCTGAAAAGGTATCAATCATCCCAAATCCGTGATTTTCCACAGCCAAAAAGTGATCCACCCAAACCAAATGAATTGAGTCCTCTCGAAACCCGTAAAAAACAATGTATAAGTGAAATAAAAAAAACAATAGTTGCCATTTGATTTTATGCGGTAGGAGTGTGGTACTAGGTGTCAACATGGCGGCCGTATCAGGGTGTCGATGAGAGCCTCCACTGGGACGCCTCTCAATAATCTCATGTATTCTGTGACCTAAAGCCCTCAAACGAAGACAAAAAAGCCAAGTAAACAAGTGAAAACAATAAATAAAGGGGGAAAACAAATACCCATCGACAAAAGTGAACGAATAAGTTGACAAAAAGAAAAACAAAGAGGAAATTAATAAAAGTTCAAGGGCAGAGAGGATCGAACGAAGCTGTTGTAATTTGAATTATAAAATAAAAAAAGTTATTGATGGCATCGTCGACGATGGCAGTACCAACGGCAACAGCTCAGGTGGTGCAGGTTACGGTAACGAGCATCCAGGGTGTTCAAGTTATTGAGGATATCAATCCAACAAACGACGAGACAGATAACGTTCAAAACAACTCATTGAACGATTCGAATATGACGAATGGTATTGGTAATGGTACAATTCCTTCAAAGACATCGATTGATGATGATAAGCATATTAATGATGGGAATGAAGATGATGGTAGTAACAGGGATGATGAAGGTGATGATAATGAACCACTCGAGGAAATTCAAGGTGGAAATTCCGAGAATATTGATGAGCACTGCTTTTTGTGTGAGAATAAACTGTCATCACCACGTTTATTAAATTGTCTTCATGCTTTTTGTGAGAATTGTGTTAACACAAAGTTGATTAACAACGATGATGGAAATGGTGTTGGGCCATTTATAATAAAATGCCCAGTGTGCGCCCAAGAGACGAGAGTTGGTGCTAAAGGGGCAGCCAGTCTTGCTTGTGACTATGTTATTACCAATATTCTCGATATGTCAGCTATTGAGAATATGACGGTACTCTGCACATCTTGCAAGGCTAAGGAGAATGCTGTTGCACGTTGCTCTGACTGTGCCAATTTTTTGTGCCCAAATTGCAATACGGCCCATCAGTTTATGCGATGCTTCGAGAGCCATAAAGTCATTGCTTTTGATGATCTCAAAAGAAATAGTGAGACTGTACCAATTCATAAGCCTATATTCTGTCAATTTCATCCTGCTGAAAATATGAAGTTCTACTGCTACACATGTCAGGTTTGTTTCATTATTCAATTAAATTAAATATGTACTCTCGAAGACTCATTTACCTAATACTCTCAAATTATTTAATACTTTAGGTTGGAATTTCGTTGAATTATCGGATATATTATATTGAAATTTTCCTACAGGAACCCATATGTAACGAGTGTCTTCTTGTCCAACACAAAGCCCCTGACCATCAGTATGAGAGACTAAGCGATGCAGAACCTCGTGAAAGAGAAGAACTAGTCAATCTAATGTCAGAAAGCATATTAAAAATGTCAGAGTGCGAACGGGCTACGACCGAACTGGAGAATGCCTTCAGTGAACTTCAGTGCCAACACGATCAGGCAAAAGACCTCATCACCGAGACCGTTCAAAGCTACAAGGCAATCCTTGAAAAATGCCGAGACAATGCACTGAATGAATTAGAAAAGCTACACTCTGAGCGTGAGCTTCAAGTAATGGATATCTTCAACAATGTTGAGAAAACTGTTATAAGGATGGAGGATGCCAATCGTTTTACTTCAAGACTGCTCGAGCATGGGGATACAACGGAAATTCTGGCACTCAAACGCATCGTTGCCAAGCAACTCATCAATTTAATAAACAACACACCAAAGTTGGACGTTAAATTTTCCATTGAATTCCAAACGGACTATCATCACTTTGAGAAAGTAATGCAGGAGTCATTTGGTAGATTCAAAACAGAGAGTACTCAGGCATTCAAATCAGTCGATATGTGTGACAATGGTCAGGTCACAGTGCACACCAATCAGAATCATCAGAATCAGCAGATACCAGTGGTTATTCCATGTCCAAGCTCCATAAGCACCAATTCCCCACTTTCCCTTCCTGGATCAATGCAATCATCCTTTGAGGGTGATCCTTCCTATGTCATGCCACCAAGTACTCCAAATCCTCAGGATGTTTCACCACCACCTCCACCACCACCACCTCCAGTATCATCGGCAGGCCCACAAGTTGTAGGAGGTGGTGTATCGCCATCAGTATCTCTTCCTCCAGGTCCTCCAATGCATGGTTTCACCAGCATACAGGAGTACAATCTTCAGCAATTAGCCAGTCTCGCTGAGAAAGTTGAGCTCAATGAAACGAGCACAAATCCAAGTCCAACTCCGTCCTTTACACTTGCCGATTTATTGTCTGGCGATTTGAGTTCAACGAGTCATGCCATCAATAATTTGCAGGCACTTGCCAAACTTGGTAATACACTTGGTAATCAAGATATGGGAAATTCAGCAATCAATGGCGGTGGAGCTATGGTTTTGGCACGTGTACCATCGCCTGGAATTAATGAGGCACAGAATATGGGCGGATTGTCCGCCAACACTTTGCTTAATGGAGGATATCAATCGTTATCCAACTCGACTTCACCAATTTTGTCGCCTGGCGATGATCTCAAAGGGGATATTCACAATATGATGAGCGGAGGTAATACTGGAGTGCCAGGGAGTGGCAACTATAATCATCCACGCTCGACTACCAATACCAAGCAGACGCCAATGCAAATAAGATCCAAGTTCGGCCAGCTTGGACCCAGTAAAGGACAGTTTAATTCACCACATGGCTTCTGTCTTGGAACTGATGAGGACATTATCGTTGCTGATACTAATAATCACAGAATTCAGGTAATTGCTTTGAATGAAAAATATTTTTATCTCGAATTAAAAAACAAAATCATCAATTAATTCTACAACTCATATTACTTTGTTTGTTTATTAATAGATATTCGATAAAACTGGACAGTTCAAATCACAGTTTGGAATCCCAGGAAAGGAAGAGGGTCAACTGTGGTACCCGAGAAAAGTAGCTGTCATGAGGAACTGCGGAAAGTTTGTGGTTTGTGATCGTGGTAACGAGCGTTCGAGGATGCAAATATTCACGAAGAATGGACATTTTATTAAGAAAATAGCAATTCGTTACATCGACATTGTGGCAGGTCTTGCCGTCACTAGTCAAGGACACATTGTCGCAGTTGACAGTGTGTCACCAACTGTGTTCGTTATTAACGATACTGGCAACCTTCTTAGCTGGTTCGACTGCAGCGACTACATGAGGGAACCAAGTGATATTGCTATTAGTGGTACGTTATTCTCAATTTCTCATAATCCACCAAAAGATGTCAACTTTTTTACGAGACATATTTACAATCCCACGGAAATGTGAGAAACAAAATGTTCGTGACTAAAATAAACTTTTCACCATCAATTTGCTTGAGGGCATTAATGAGCTCATTTTTGTGATTGATTTCAGGCAAGGAATTTTTTGTTTGTGACTTCAAAGGACATTGTGTCGTTGTTTTCAACGAGGAGGGCCATTTCCTCCGTCGCATTGGCTGTGAGAATATAACAAATTTCCCCAATGGGATTGACATTAGCGACGCTGGAGATGTCTTGATTGGTGATTCCCATGGCAATCGTTTTCACGTTGCTGTTTTTTCAAGAGATGGCTCTCTCATATCGGAGTTTGAATGTCCTTATGTAAAGGTAATATTCTCATTTTTTCTTCCTCCACGTATCTTCTATTACCGATTCTTGCCATGCAATTGTATGAAGTGCTATGTACAAGGTGGCATGACGAGGAGGTACAATAGAATTTCACTAAAACAAGATTGACTCTCTTTCGCTTTGCATCGTTCGCATTATCTCAATTTGCCTATTTATACATTCTCAACTAAGAAACAAATTATTGTGTAAACATGATTTTTGTAGAAATTTTTATGTAATAAACTAATAACAATGTAGGTGTCACGATGCTGCGGCCTTAAAATAACTTCCGAAGGTTACATTGTGACGTTGGCCAAAAACAATCACCACGTCCTGGTACTGAACACTCTGTACATATTGTGAAGTGGGACAAGACCAACAATAACGTCGCAACTTACTTCTTCATACGGTCGTCTTATTGGAGACCATTCCGCTCTCAACGAAAGGTAAAACAAAAAACTGCAATTAATCTAAAGAAAACAAAAAAAAACCACATCAACTTGGCCAATTTTTGGCCTATCGAAGCAATAACAAACAATTTAAGTAACGGGCAAAAAAGTGCATAAATTAATCACTGAAACAATAAAATACGTGCGTCCCTGTTTTTATGAAATATATATATCAACACCTCGAAGATCATCTTGAAGAGAAATTAAACAAGTACTACAGAGAAGGAAAATAAACAAGAAAACGCAAGGTTCATACATCTCCGACCAACGTTACAGTATAATAAGTATCGTAATTAGGGAAATTGCATTTGGTAAACTGCCGAAGGGTCGAAAAAAAATTTCTCGAGCGTACCGTGGAAGAGCGTGCACGATTATACATTGGCACTGCGTGCTGACCGACTCGTGGCACGTGTTACTATTTATCTCACCGAAAAAAAAAAAACATGAAAGCTAAACAGTTTAGAAAAGCTATAGAAAGAATGGAAAGACATTAGAAAATTTTAAAACAATGGCCTTGCGTCAAAATTGGTCGTTGCACATCATTTTTGACATGTCAGTATTTTAAGTATAATTGATTATAAATCAAAGTAATCTAGTCTTTCATTCGAGCACGATCTTTCATACCCCATTTTACCCCTTTGTCTGTTAAGGAAATGAAGCGATTTGAAGAAAACAAAAAAAAAACTCACGAAAATCTCATTGACGAGTTTAATATTAATTTATTTGCTCAAATATTTTTCTCTAATACCAAATGTCATCGATCGATGATCGTTGAGGGATTGAGTGAGGAAATTAAGTAATCGAGGGGAATTTTATTCAAATAAACTGAGTATTTTATTCAATCTAGTAAATCGGACTTCCAAAAGTTTAAATTCGAAGCTGCAAGTGTTTTATCATTTTTTTTTCATCCATTGAAATTATTATTTATTCACATATTTTAGGTCTCATAATATATTACATCATTTTAAATGGCCAATGATTACCAAACTATTTTCCAACCGTAAAAAATACAGTGGAAATACAGTAGATTAATTGATTTCTATTCTGATATTTGATTCGAACAAAAAAAAAAACACAGTGGTCATTATATTTACTCAGGAGTTTTCAAATACGATCCATTGAACGAAAAGGAGAGAAAACAGAAAAAAACATTACATAAAGAGTCATCAACATTTCTTGGTGCTAAACAAATGATAATCTATCTATACGTGTCATTTGTCCATTGAGGAATTTCAATTCAGGAATTTGTCAGATCTAATAATTTATGCATCGCTTACAATTCCTACATTTACTATTGATATCATAGAAAGTATCTTACCTATCTTTAATAATTACAAGAAAAAAACAAGGATATAAAGTTACAGTTTGGTGAACATCTTCTATTTATGTATATATACAGAAAAATAGTCGACCCTTAAATGGTAAAAAAAAAACACGAATAGATGAGAAGGCGAAAAAATACCATTCATATATACAAATGACATATTTTTAGGGTTGTTTACATGATCAGCCTTAATTTCATTGAGAAATCGGAAATTACTGAAAATGGAAAAAATGAGAAATTACACCACGTTAGCAACGCGGTATCGTATTTTTCACGGTTCGCTATGCTATGTTATCTATTTACCATTTACCATGTATATATACATACTGTTAAAACGAGACGAGTATTATTTTTCATTTTGATTTTTGAAAATTACCAAAATGCTAGGTAGACGCGTACGTTGTATGTACTCAAAAAAAAAATGGCTTCAAAAAATATCAAAAAGTAATCTCATTACCGATACAAAGAGAAATGAAACATCTTATCTGAATTCATTACTACGATCAGAACAAACGAAAGTACTAGGAAGTGAGTCTAACAGGCAAATTAAACGATTGTTTGAAATTGATTTAATAAGATTGAATAAAAAACATCGTTACAGATAAGCCTACGATTTTACCACCTCTAATCTATTGATTAATCGTATTAATGTGGTAATTATTTCAAGTTTAATTTTATATATACACATATACATATTGTACATCTAGAGGGAAACCTGTGGATGCGTGAAAAAAAACTTACAAAATTGAAAAAAAAAGAAGAAAAGAAAAACAAACGTAAAAAAATGATAAAAAAAATGTATAAACTTCTGAAAATATTTAATAGCCATGGTTTAGCAGAGTTATATTGAATAATAATGCCTGTGATAATAGTATCGTCAGGATAAGTTGTGTCCTTAAAGAGTCTCTGATGTTGTTACTAGGTAAATATAAAAAAAAAATTAAAAAAAAGATTTGAGATTACTGACAAGAATAAAAAACTGTACCACGCTGGCTTTGCCTCGCTGTAGATAAAAAAAGAAAGACAGTTGATAAAAACGGTGGAAAAGAAATCATTATTGAATTTTCAATTTACATAATAGTGTATTTATTGTCCGATTTGCACAACGACCACATCACACGCAGTTGCCCATCCACTTTTCTTCGACGGTACGCTAGAGAAATGAAGATAAGATGAATTTGATGAATAAGAGATGTGAGAGAATTACAGATAGAGAATATTGAACAAAATGAAAAATATAAGATAAAATGGAAAGCATAATGATTGAGTGATTTGTATTGTGGATTGGCAGTGAGTTGAGAGGGAAGGGGGTGACTATATGTTTTTTGAGGGAAGAAAAAAAAAATGGTGGCAGAAGGGGTTAGGGATTCAAGCATAATAATTTTTAAAACGGCGCGATGACCACTAATGCAAGAGGGTCTTTTACCTCACAAAATTAAAAAAAAATAATAATGATTATACTACGCTCACCTTATATATACTTGAATATTTTAGTATAGATTTACTCTATTTACATATTTTTATCTGTGGAAGACTACTTGGCTAATTTAGGCCACTGTTGAAATTCACCCCTTATTTGCCTTGATGTTTAAATTACAACAATAATATTTAAATGAAGTAAAATTTTAAAAAAAGTAATGATTAAAAAAGGAAAAAATGATTAATAAGATGCTGATTACTTGTTACGTAAATGGTAATTGTGATAGATTTTTTGATGATTTTTACAATCTCAAAAGTCTTATTATCCTGACATGAATAGAATTATATAGTCACTCTCTACATAATAGATACACTCTGCTTACTGTTAAATTAATATTTAATGAAAGATGAAACAGATTAAAGAGAATGAAGGAATGGTGATAATGGACTTACCAATTAAATATCCAATGAAACAGCTGCAAACATGAATATTAAAAATCAATTTACCAAGTCGAATCAGCCAAGCTATTATCAATATTAAATCCACTATCATAATCTGAGCTTAGAACAGGATCAAATAATTGCTTGAATAACTTGTTATAGATTCAATTGAAATTTACCATTGGATTGAACAAACAACTTCCTCTGTCCGCCGTAGGTGTATTAAAAATTCCATGTGTGAACAATTAGAAAAATGCAATTTGAAATGAGTGAAAAGAGAAATAATAGGAGAATTATCAAAAAAAAAAAAAGCTATTTTCCGCAGTCTTATGTCGGTACCTATACATAGATTCACATTCAAATGTAATTCTCGAGAAAATGTGAGGAATTTGAAAAATCATTCGAAATTTCCGCAATCTAGGATAGCTTTAAAATTGAAACTTCATTTTTTTTCTCATTTCCGTAAAGTTCTCGTGTAATATTATTTCCCTTGTTTTTTATTTATGTTCAAAGAACAATGACGTGATTATCTAATAACAGTGACATTGTCTTATTCCACGGTTGAGAGCGACAAAGGGTAGATTAAATATACTGTACAATCGTATTAATTGATAGAACCAAGAAAAAAAAAATGGAAAACAACCAAATATGAGATACTGAGAACTTGTAGCCTACGGTTAATCATAGTCTTCCTAGAGTCTTTGAATAATATTTAAACAAAATGCGCTATGAAATTTTAGGAGCAAGCTCGATTATTGGTGAATAACCACTGAAATTTATCACTTGGAAGTGGTGTGAATGCATTTACACATTATTATTTTCCATCGTTATATTTTGTTTTCTACGTCTTAAGTTGTCAGTCATAATGGGTACATGCATTCAAATATGTTTCTTTCTTTTTTAAAAACTAATTGTGTTTTTTTATTATTCAATATCGACGTGGTTTTTTTAAAGGCATATATCAAATTATCATTTCGGTAGCGTCTGTGCATTAAAGCACTCACTAGCGCCGACTGTTTCAATTTTTTGTCCCATTGTTTATTTATTTTTTCTCTTTCAATAGTCAAGGGCACTTTTCCCTCGTTCTCAATTAGAATTTATTTATTTTACATGTTGAAATGTCTGTTTGATAAAATGAAATCGAAGAGAGGTGTGAATTTAACAAGATAACTGATTACCAAAAATTTTTTGTTTTTATTTTGTTAGTTTAATTAGTCTCCTCAAATACTCGATACTGGAGTGTTTTGGTTAATTTTTCTTTAGTCAGAGGGAATGATTAAATCTAAGTTATCTAAGACTATCTTCGATTGACTAGTTATCAAAATGCGACTTTTGTGTAGTTGGCATTCCAATATTTAATTGATATATTTTAAAACTGTGGAGTGTTCATACTCTCGTCGACTATAAAAAATGTGTAGATTAGTGGGAGACAAGATGAGGGAAGAAAAATAGTCACAGTGAAGTAGTTGTAATTTTTATCATAGATACTGAGCTTTTCTCTTTTAAAAAAAGTTTCGTTATGTCTGTAGCCCTGACTGGTTTGTATAAGTTTAGATTATAAGAAGAGCAGCTTGAGCGTTACATTACGTTTTTTCATACGCTTCGTATTTATACAAAAATTCAATTCTTTAGTGCCAAATGAGAAATGAAAAAAAAATTAATGATAATAATTTCTACGAATTAGTCTCACTTAGGACATTATTTTTTGTTTGTTCGTTTTTATTATTTTTAAAAATGGTTTATCGAGTTTATCATTTGTGCCGTGTAAAGTGTCCAGATTATTTCTAGTATTTAAGAATTTCTATACAAAAATAAACTGAGGAGAAGAGGAAGGGAAAAAAGGAAAAAATAACATTCTTGATTAGTCAGTTAAAGTACAAATGTTTAATGTATTGTACCGCTAGTTGATAAGCAATGGGAAAGTGTCGATGAAAATGAAGGAAAAACATAAAAATAATTATTTGTACTGCAATTCCATTCCTCAACAAAGCAAATGTTACGAAAGGCTTCACTGTATTTTTTTGGCGTTAGTTAATTGTTATGTAATACTTAACTGGCTACGTGACAAATTATATCAAAAGTTTATCATTTTATGTTTAATTTGTTTTTTTTTTTGCTTTTCGATTTTATATTTGTTATTAGTTTTAAGATTTTTTTTTCCATTTTGAAAGAGTCAACAGTTTTTTTTTTCTGTGTTTGGAAGGCACTTTGGTTATTTACATATCAAATTGACCACCACACATATGTATACATATAGTAATTATACACTTTATACAGTCGCATTCCATTTGGTGTGTGCTTCTAATGTTCAGGGTCATCAAATTAAAGGAAATAAATCACAATACGTATGATAAAAAATATTTCGTAACTAAAAATATTCCGGTGATCTCGGCAATTTATATTTTATGGACACCAAAAATAAAAATTGGAGAATAAAAAATGTTTTTGCAATGGAACGAATATTTAGAGGGGATTTTTCAATCCGACTGAAGATTTGTATTTAGAAAGAGATTGAGATGAAAAAAGTAATAAATTGAGAATAAAAAAAAAATGGTGTAAGTGCTTCAATATATTGATTAATGACATCCACGTAAATGTTCGGTTCTCTCAAAGTTTTAAGGGATGAAATGAATTTGTTATTTGTAAGGCAAATTGATAGCTGGTCTGATGGGGAAATGTGAAGATATATCAGTCTCCCAATTCACTTTTCCTCTCTTCTGAAAACAAGAGGAATTTGATTTTTCTCCTTTGGTTTGGTTGGAATGAGTTTACTGAACGAACGAATGAGGATTCACTTGTACGCTATGATGAGAATAGTACAACAATGAATGGTAATAGGTGTAATTGCATTATGGAAGAGTGTATACCAATATATTTTTTATAAATCATTGAAAAATAGAGATTGGTATGCCCATCGTTATCAAGTTCAACGATTAAACTCATTACTGAGATTCGAAAAATTTTAATATATTCAACATTGTAACAAAAAAAAATTTACGATGGGTCTGCTGTTTACGAACATCCAGCTTTCTCGAATTGAATGACAAAAATAAATTACTTCTTCTTCGTATCAGAAGGAAAAAAAAAAGAAACAAAGCAAAAACTTCATATATTTTTCACAGCTAATCTACATTTTATCAGCGATTTCTCCACTCAATTATTTCCATTGAACAATTACACTTATAATTTGACTTTTTCCAAAGTTTAACAAGGCTAGTCCATCGAAATGCGTGTGTAAACTGAGGGGTCTCTTATATTGCCTTTCTTATTTCATACTTATTGCAAATAATTCATTAATTATTAACTGATAACTTTTTATCTACCTTGTACCTACAAATCTTTTGTTTTCTCAGTTAATTATTCATTTTATACTTTGTAAGATGAGGAAAACAAATATATTGTACTATACATTTACACATCTATATACACTTTTACAAAAGAGAGAGCGAGAGAGAGAGAGAGAGAGAGCGGGAGAGTGAAAGAGAGAAGGAAGAGGAAAACAAGAAGCATAAGAGATATTTTAATCTACATTACTGTATTATGTATACTGAATGAGTATGTGAATTAAAAAAAAAGATGTGCAAAATTTCCTACTTATACATCTGTACATTATATCCTAATTGAAAATATTTTATTATAGGATTGGATAGGATTGGATCTTTTTTATTTTGGGTTGGCTTGAAGAGAAAATGTTGAAGGGCTGGAACGAATGGACTTGTCAATATTGTTATTCGTAAAAACGTTGATATTGTTGTGAACCATATCAAATTGAATTTTTGCCATCAGTCGCGTCAATTCGTATAATAACCCCCATCCTATATTAAGATATTCTCAAGTCAAGAAAAATTAAATACAAAAATTATTATATATGTAGGTACATATGTATATATATGTATGTACCTACATCATACACTTATTAATAGATTGAAAATAAAAAAAGCTGATATACCATTATACACTCTTGTGTGCGCATAGCTGCAATGCAATAATTAAATGAATATTAATTATTCAAATAGCATATAATTTCAATAAATATACACATGATATTGTGATGCTCACGAAAGCACATAACACAATTTACTGAAGTTGTAAAAAAAAAAAAACAAGAAAAAGGGAAAAAAATTATTTAAGAAAAAAAACATTTCGTGTGATTTTGGAAAGTTATATTTCTTATTTCCTGCCAATTGTTTTATTTGTAATGTTGTTCTTTGTTCTTTTACAATAAATTAAAAATTCAAATGATAAACATTCGAAATTTATGATTATTCATTTATTTTAGTCGGAATCACTATCATTTTTTAATGATTTTTGGTTTCGTGGAAGTCCTTCTTGAAGTTCTAGGACGTGCTGCACGGGCCTAGGTTTTCCATCTTCGCCTATGGTGCATGGTTGAATTATTTTATTGCTGGGAAAAAAGATAACAAATTCGTTGAATATTTTTGAGGAACATTTTTTACCTAATTCACCTCGAATCCGAAAATCACAGTCCTCCATTTTTGTACACATCATTTGAGACTTTGAATTCATTTTTGATGGCGATTAAATTAGATATGATACTCACTCAGCCAACTGACTCACGAGATTCACAAGATTCATTACTTCATGTTCCATTTGCTCTTCAGTCATCCCCTCGAATGGTTGAGGTTTAACTTTCTCATAGCATCCTGTCACTGGGTTGATATTTTCCTTATATTTAGCGTATTCCTCAGTATCACTCTCTCCAGACTCTGATGAATATTCGGTCTCTCTTTGCACTCCACCTAATAATCCTTTATTAGCAAACATCCCTGCTGCATTTCCATAACCAGTATACTTGATCATCCTCCCCACTGCAAATCGGTATAAAAAAAAAATCGTTGACAAATTTTATGATAATTATTTCTAATTCTAATACAAATGGAAACATTTTTATATCAATTTCTACCAAGCAATCGATTTTGTCAATCGAAGCAGTCCTCTAAAAAATGTTTCAATTTTTCATAATAATTTAAAGTAATTTCAACATCATCTTCATCTCACCATTTTCCTTGCAAAGAACGAACAAAAATTCAGCCACAAGGTCTCTAATTTCAGTAATAGGACTAGTTAGCAATTTGCATAATTTGCCTCTTACATGAGGGTCCTCTTCAGGCCTATGCATCACATCCTGTCCTTTCAGAGTAGGCAGAACTTGTTGCCTAACCCATTTTCGTATCAATCTTTGACTCTTTGTTAGTTTTAACAGAACAGTGACAATTGGAGAGATGTTATCAGTTAGAACGTGCGGCCTGTTCAGTCTCTTGTTCAAGAAGAGTAATAATTTATGGACCGCTGTCATGTCCATATTCTCGTGAATATCATGACACCCGATTTTTTTAATTGCATTCAGCGAGGGAATAATTGGATCAAAACAACTGGGCGGAATGACAGTGAGTAAATTCACAATGTGACTGTGCAAATCATCTGTCCCTGATTCAATCAAAAGTAGTCTGTAAAGAACTTCAACTAATTTCTTATGTTGACTTTTAAGATCATCCGTAGAATCATTCGAGTCAATATATATATTGAAAAGTGCCTTCAATACTTCACAAGCTATTTCAATCAAATTTTCTCGCAATTCGTCTAGTTTTTCTGACTTTATTTCATTGGACAATTTGTCCAGAGTCTTTATCAATTCACTATCAGCTCTCACTTCCTCTCTTAAAGCATTCCGGCACGCTGAATTGTAGGCTGTTGCCAGAAACATAAGTCTTAGGTCGAACAATAATCCGATGTTATAGGTGAATTCAGATTTTGAATTTTCATTTTCGATTCTTTTCACTAGATTTTTTAAACACCCAGTTTTTGGCAGTTGAATTTGAATCACGTCAGACTGGTAGATTGCATTGCAGAGGAGTTTCAACGCTTCCACAATAACTGTAAACATAAAAGGAAAAAGGTAAAAAAAAACATTTTTGATTAATAGAATTGCCGTACGTAAACCAAATCCACTGGGCAAAACATAGAAAACATGTTTTGAATAATTAGTTAACATTAGTTCATAGAAAAATTGTAAATAGGGATGAAAATAGAAATCCCAACTCATCCTCACAGAATATTCAATGCAATTGGTACAAAAAATAGAATTTTCTAATAGAATTACAATTATCTACAATTTTTTGATATGACGTTGCTGATTGTCGGGGTTGAATAAATTCGATGGAGCTATATTTTGTTTGAAAATGGTAAAGAGGTAAACCTGTACACACCTATATCGTAAGAGAGTTTCAAGTGGTCGGTAGACAGGCCTGCTTTATAGATAATTATGCTCAGTCTGTCATCCATAATCAATTGATTTATATCCGTCTTATCCCGGCTGAGAAATTAAATAAAACAAATGGAGCTTACTATTTTTCCATAGAACATCCACAATTACAAACCTGAGAATCCTGAGTGTCTGCAAGCACTTGAGATGAATCTCACATTGACTCTCATCAAATAGCCTTCTAAAAACTTCACCCCAAACTGTAGATCTCATATCCCCCTTATCCAATTCCTCAAACTTCATTTTCGTGGCACACTAAAAAGTAAAAACCTTGAAAATAGTCTCACCATCAACGAAAGAAATCAAGCATGATCATTTACTGTTAATTGTATAATGAAATGTTAAACTAGGATAAGTGAATTTTTCTCGAGGTCAATTTTTAACCAATATCTCGAAATTGAAGAAAGATAGTAATTTTTTCATGAATACCTTTTTTGTAGCCCTCATCTTTTTCTCTAGAAAATGTTTATGCAAAAAATTCGCTGTATTCCTTCAATTAAGAGATACGGCCTATGAACTGGCCTCGAGAAAAATGTACTTATCCTGATTCACTACTTCTTTACAAAACTAAAAATTTGATTGTTCGAAAAGATCTTGTCACTTCCAAATGATGCAATAATAAATTAATTCAAGTACACCATAACAACAAAGAATGTTGGCGAGATTAACACGAAGAAATTGTTGATCATTCCAATACTTACATCATTGCAAAAGCGTTCCAAACATTTTCCCACCTCCGTCCAGTCCGTTTTAGTGGTAATGTTAACAAAATCTTCCATTGCACCAAGTACTATGCCGCTTTATTTACCTAAAAAAAATCAGAAAAAATAGAGGTGAAAGTTTTAACAATCTGTCATCTCTCACCATCACCCACCAAATCACGAGTGATCTCAATAATTTTTGAATGCACCTGGAACTCCAGAAGTAAAAATCCAATAATAATACGGCGGTTGCATTTGCAAAGAGTAAAAAAATCACATACGTAGAACGTTATGCGTTATGTATTTGACATTACACCGATTATACATACAGATGTGCGATCAGCGCCTGCGCGGGGCAGAGGGGCAGTGGCGGGGGAATTTAAAACCAAGATGGCCGACCTTAGCCGATTAGGTGGTGGTGGTGGTCGATTTGACGCACAGGGTTTACATTATCACGAGAGCAAGTCAGTGTCTATTGGTGTCTATGAGGCACTGGGTGACACTGGGTTAGTGTAAAATTTTCTCAATTTACTCTCAAAGTATAAGAATATTTCTTAGCCACGTTGAAAGCCAAAATTTTGTAATTTTTCTATTGCTGCAAAACTAGTTATCAAACACTCTGCCAAGAATAATGATCGTGTGTATGGAATATAATATTAAGTGAAACTCATTTATGTCAAATGGTCAACAGCAATAACCGCAATTATTAGCGTTTGCATAAAGAATTCTTTATAGTACATCAGTTAATGTACTTTTGGAAATGTTTTCCTGACTAATGGAATTGATCAACAATGATAACACAAGATATTAGGGTATGGTATTATCTTGGTGATGTAAACGACACTTCACTTGTTGAATTTAGTGATTTAGTGGAGATACTCTGCGGTGAAATTTGAATTTTTCAATCAACGCTCAGGACAAAGGTGAATTATTTATTTAATTAACAACCATCAGTAGTGCGATAAATCTTGAACTCTTCACTGATTAGAATGGAGTTGATCCAATTTTTTATCCCTTTTTTTCATGATTTTCTATATTTTTTTACTTGCAGATATTATTCAATAAATTGATGATTATGCTAAAAATTGAGAGGCAGTTACAATCGTTGAAATCGTCAGTGGATCAATATGATACGAGAAGTAGACAAGGAACGAAATTCATCGGTGTGTTTTACACCTGGAAATCAAGATGATAATGGAGATGGCAATGATAATGAAAGAGATGAGATACATATGTCATTGGCGCCATACATACAGACTTATCTCGCTCATAGTGGACAAGGTGTTGGATGCTGTGGAATTGATTTGCCAGTGCCATTTGAAAGAGCAGCTCCAAGATCATGGTGGAATCCAAAATTCGATTCCGAAATTCTTGAGGAGCAGTACAAAACCAGTGCTTTTCCCCAACTAAGATTGAGATTTAGGTAAGAGCACTGAGCGTGCACATTATCAGGAAAAACTAATACCATTCGTCGACTTTCGTATCGTAATTTTCCGTGTCACAAGATTGTACTCTATTTAACTTGTCTAGGAGCTTTGTAATGTTGAAAACCCTTTTGTAGCCTGTTACAATATTCTCAGCACTCTCTATAGACCGTGTCTTATTAAAATACAGACTGAAATAGATTTTTTAAAATTATTCATCAATTTAGCTTACATTATAATGATCATTTTTATAGAGTAAAAATCTACCTTCCGTTTACCTACTATTATCTTTATTTTTAATTTTTTTAATTATAAATACCTTTCTCCTTCAACTTCCCAGAAAACTTTGAAATAAATCTCTATACCTGGGTAAGAGGAAATGGAAATGGGCCCCGTACAGAATTTTTATTTATATTATTAATATAGGACTGACAGAATTCATCATAAGGTCTCTTTCTGCATAGTTTCGTAAATTACAGAAACAATATCCCTCATTAAACATCGTTTTAGATTTAAATTCACTGACTAGCTTGAATTAATCATTTCTATAATAGCAACCAGATATTGAACCGATGCAGTGGTAAAAAAGGACGACTTGGAAACAAATTGACGCATAATTGGAAAATTATTTTAAGGATTAAGATGTTCTGAAAAATGATTGATAATTAAAAAGGTCAATATTATGAATAATGATTATGAAAAAACCCTCATTATAAAAAATTCAGGAGATAAAATTTAGCCAGTGATTAGTACAAATGAATGATAACTTCAGAAGTTTCTGCATACTCATAATTTTAGAACTAAACCCCCTACATAAATCCCCAGATAACTCTTTCCTGATCCCACCTAAAAATAAACATTCTCATTGTTCCAGATATGCACTTCTATACGTCCTCTTAATCTCCCTCTGCTGGCTAATCTACTTCATAACCTTGGGAATAAAAAGCTGGATATCTCCATTGCCAACAATAGCAGGCATATTTGCCGGGACGTTTATCCTGATGTCCTGTGTCTTTTACTTGACTTCGAGAGATTACTACAGACGTTACGTATTCACGACATCTCTGATTGTTTCTACTATTCTTTGCGCCCTGTCCCTGCTCCTACTAGTCCTCGTACCACCATATGGAGCTACAGAGAACGAGGGATTGAGTCTCGTCGGCCACTTTTCCCTTTGCTCAGAGATCCAACTGCTCATCTACACAGTTATACCAATGCCCCTGTACGCATGCTTCGGTGTTTGCACCATTTACTCTATTCTCTTCGAGTTTCTCACAGCATATCTCTATAATCAACACAAAAAAACGACAATAAGTCAACCGCTCGAGTTCGATTCAACTCTCCTAACAATCCGAATCCTCATGCAAATATGTATCCACATAATCGGAGTTCATATTTTGATAATGACGTTTGTAAGAATGAGAGGAACATTTATGAAAGTGGGGCAATCTCTCCTTGTTCGACGCCAATTGGAAATGGAGAAACAACTCAAGGAGAAGATGATCCACTCGGTGATGCCCCCAAAAGTGGCTGATTGGTTGATGGAGGAGAGTGAGCGAGAACGAGAGCGAGAAGATTCAATAAAAAAAGGATCTATACCGTCGAATAATACTGATCTCAGATCGCTCTTTCGTCCCTTCAATATGCATTCCATGGAGGACGTATCTATTCTCTTCGCTGATATCGTTGGCTTCACTAGAATGAGCTCCAATAAAACAGCTGAGCAGCTAGTGGGAATTCTCAATGATCTATTCGAGAGATTTGACGAATTATGCCAGCAAAATGGCTGTGAGAAAATTTCCACTCTTGGGGACTGCTATTACTGCGTGAGTGGGTGTCCAGAGCCAAGATTGGATCATGCCAGGTGTTGTGTAGAGATGGGTTTGGCGATGATAGAGGCAATCAATCAATTTGATGTAGAAAGAAGGGAGGGAGTTAATATGAGAGTAGGTGTACACACTGGAACGGTTCTTTGTGGAATCGTTGGCACCAAAAGGTTCAAATTTGACGTATGGTCTAATGATGTTACTCTTGCCAATAAATTAGAAAGCACAGGAATAGCTGGTCGAGTTCATCTCAGTGAAAAAACATTGATGTTTCTCGCTGATGAGTACTTGACGGAGGAAGGCGAGACTGTTAAGGGAGTTAAGACGTACTTTATAAAGGGCCGAAAGTCAGATCTCATAAATAAGTTCATGAATAATATTGGGCCAATATCAACGAGCATATCACCCGTTTTGCATCCACGTCAACGATTATCCTCTTGCAGTAATCAATCGAAATCTGGCCAGCATTATTTGCACATGGTTACTAATCCTACGAGTTATCGAATTAAGGCTAATTCATTACCAAGTATTTTAGATTCTGAGGCTGATGAGTTCAATGAGAATATCGGGGGTGGTGAATTTATAAAGGACGTTAGTCAGAGTCCTTCGAGCACAGTCAGTTATGGAAAGAAGAAGAGAATTAAACCTTGGAAATATTTGCAGAGGCAGAGAACAACTGAAGAAATGACTCCACTTAAGATTCATGGAAATAAAGCTATTCAATTTCAAAAGAATAATTCTCAGGCTATCGATGTGGGGCATAATAACGTGGAGATGGATCCTGATCCTAGAGCTGTTCGTCCCTCATTGAGTCATGCCTCTTCAGTTTGCAGCAGAAAGGACTCTGGAATCAGAAGTAATAGTAGACGAAGTAGTATTCAACAGCAGTTATTTTTGATGAATGGATTGACCCAGGGTGATCTCCTTGGTCAAAGAGTCAGTGGATATTATACATCGAGTTCTACACTTAATTCAAAAGAAGATCCTTCGTCCTCTGCCGTACCATCTTATCCTCCTTATCCATTTCCTCCTGCTGTTACTGATACATTTGGTGCGTGCTTTCATAAGTTGAGGAAACAGTCTGATCTCCAGTTAATTCGGTGAGTCACTGATTACTCTCATGTAGAGAGAAACATTCACTTCGCTTGTCGTGTAGGTCGTTGATAACATTATATTCTGTGGTCACATAAAAAATTATTTTTTTCCTGCTACAGGGGAACGTGACATTCATTCAATTTTCATTTATCAAATTTTTTTTCGATAATTATCTTGAAGGGTATCATGCCTGTGTACGCCAATTGCTGAAAAATTTGCAATTTTGGAAGTCAATTGATATACCGTTGGATTATCTCTAGGTGGCTATAGGCTTAGTCCAGTAGTTTGTGAGCAAGTCATTTATTTTATGACACTTTTACGATAATAATAATCTTTTATCATAATTACTAGGCAATCAGGCGCGCTGTCGCGCGCTTTACCTCTAAGTGGGCACTATAGCACAATAACATCCTCGTCATCATAGAAATGATCAATCGATCCATCGACCAATAGGAAAAGGAATAAAAGATTGACAATTCTTTTATGATAAAGGAATCAGAACACACAGGCCCGTCCATAAATGATTCTCCAGATATTTTAATTTTTCCATTTTTCATTCAAAATTCTCGTATGGATATTTTATTTGATCTGAACTGACGTTGAAAATTTTCAAAAGAGTATTAGTAGTTGCTGTTGAGGGTTTGGAAGAGTATCCAAGGGATTGATACATTATTTTTAAGCTAGTGTCGTGTGAAATATTTATTCGACCGTTTTCGTTCAATAGTATATTTCGTCACTAGGTCGTTAGGAACTTTTCTGACGATTGTGAATTTACAGTCCGAGGCGAAGTCGAGTGGTGAGAAAAGTTCTTTTCGGCCGAGTTACGAACAATATTTTTTTGTCATTCAGTCCACAGACAGGATTGTAAGACCGTGCAGCAGTCGTGAAATATTGCTTCACGCACTGAGTGACAAAAATATATAGTTATATTTTAGCTGTCCACCACACAATCAATCAAGTGAGACCATATACTCAATTGTGGCGCTTTAATTAACTGTAATTAGTGAAAAGAATAATTTTTATTGATTTTTACAAACTATATATGTATAATAAGTGAAATGAATTTTCTAGAATTTTGTGTTTTATTCCAGATGTGTTCAGGACAACGTATCCTCCCAACGGTCTTACTTCGTAAAGCCACCCCTTTCCCGAGCAACCCTCTTCTTCAAGAATAAAGAAATGGAGGCAGAATACCGAGAGAATGCTCACAAGACAAGCGAGAGCATCGGAGGAAATCCACCGACCCTAGCAACATCACGATTCAACACGTACTTTGATATCCTTGTGTCAGCTCTTATTTACACTGCAATCACCGCCTCTCTTTTAATTCTTTGCAATCCAACAGTGTACTTTCTGATATTCTGTACAATAGCCACAGCCATTCAGATATTCGTCGTGAGTCTTTGCATACGTCAGTTAGTAGATCCGAATTCAGCATACGCCATAGCTACACAGAGAATCTTTAAGTTTTTCACCAAGTGGTACCCTTGGCATTGTTGCGGTGGATTCCTGGTGAGCCTCCCCATCACATCGATCTTTATGAACCTCAACTGCAGAAAAGGCTTCGAATCAACCCTCACAAATCATATCGACTACTACTACTGTTATTTAATTTTCGTGAGTTTTGTACATTTTTGCAATTTTACACAATTAAATTGTTGGATGAAAAATGTTCTCGTGACATTTACAGCAGTAATTTTTGTCATTTTTATGGTCAGTAATGTTGGATCGATTGATCAATCAATTGACGTTGATTTAGTGATACCACAAAATGCCTTAAACAGCTCAGATATATTACCGCCAATGGATTTAACTTTAAAGTCCACCGAGACAGTGAACAATAGTTTTAACAATATAAATATGACGATTGGCTCAATTGATGCTGTCGATAAGAAACATAGACTACAGTACAACGATGATTTTTATGGTAAAGAGATATTTATTGATATTGTCCTACTTTTGATACTCGTGTGGTTTTTAAATCGTGAATTTGAGATTAGCTATCGTTTGAGTTTTCATGGTAATGCCGTTGCTGCTAGGGATAAATCGCGAGTGCAATCAATGAAAAATCAGGCTGATTGGTTGTTACATAATATAATTCCCAAGTACGTTGCCGATCAGTTGAAGACAACCGCTAAATATTCGCAAAATCATAAATCTGTCGGAATTATATTTGCTAGTATTGTTAATTTTAATGAACTTTATGATGAATCTTACTTGGGGGGGAAGGAATATTTGAGAGTTTTGAATGAATTGATTGGGGATTTTGATGAGTTGTTGGAGAAAAATGAGTACTCTAATGTCGAGAAAATAAAAACAATCGGCAGTACATTTATGGCTGCGAGTGGGCTTAATCCACAGGTGCGAAATCAGAATAGTCACATGTTTCAGCATCTATTCGAGCTATTGGATTTTGCTGTCTCAATGCACAAAGTTATTTATGATTTTAATAGAGATCTGTTGGGATTTAAGTTGATACTGAGAGTCGGATTCAATTTTGGGGATGTAACTGCTGGGGTAATTGGTGCAACTAAACTTTATTATGATATTTGGGGAGATGCTGTTAATATTGCCTCTAGAATGGATTCAACAGGTGTTGATGGCAGAATTCAATTGCCCAGTTGTTGCATTGAGGTTTTGAATGAGCGTTATGAGTTTCAACCTAGGGGACAAGTTTATGTTAAGGGAAAGGATAATATGGATGTTTCTCTTTTGATTGGTAAGAGAAATTAAGGCCCGGATGGACAGTCTGGAAAAGATAATTTACTCCAAAATTGGGACTTCTAATTACTCCGTCAATTAATCGTTTTTTCCGATAATTGTTAGCTAGCGGCCTAGTTGTTGACAACCGCTAGAACGCTAGCTAACAATTATTGAAAAAAACGATTAATTGCCAAAGTAATTAGGCATCCGAATTTCGGAGTAAATGATCTTTTCTAGATAATCCACCCGAGCCTTAAGAATATTTATTTTTCAAGGGGAATGAGGAGCGAGTGTACTTAACTAATTTATTATTTGTGTCGGCAGTACTTGATGGAGTGTTAAACAACTCGAGATTTTTTCATTAATTTCTACAAAAATTATTGGAAACTTGACCATTTCGCATTGTTATACTTTTTAAAAATTTGAGAATTCTAGTGGGTTTCTAAAATGATATTTTTCAATCATTTCATGCAACAGGAAAATTCAGTTTCTCTAACAAATTAATAATAATTAATGGTAATTAATTTTTCCTATTTGGGAAAACAATTCTGGATTTGTCGTCCTCTATTCATATTGTCAAAAGGTTTTTTATGTGAAATCTTCTACCCGTTACTCCTCTTCTCGTTCCAGAAATCTTCGCATTAACAATTAACAAGAATGAAAATACGTGATTATGTTATTAAGTGCTGTTGACGAATTATTTATTTGATTATTTGATTTCCTTATTTATCTGATTTTAAAAAGAAATATACTATTTTATAAGACCGGCACAAGAATAATGAGAATTGTATGGTATTTTAACATTCCAACATTGATTGTACCATTGATTGAAGCGAGGGTGCCATACATCTAGGATAAATGTACACACCTGTTTTTCTGTACACAGATTTACTCAAATATGTAAAAAAAATCTCATATCGAATCTCTGAGTTTTATCGATTAAATTTATGTATTTCATTTAGAAAACAATACAAATTGATTGATATTATCGTTTCGAATTGGACGCGAACGCCTTTTAATTGATCAACTGAGCAAAATCTGTCCACATGTAATATTTTAATCATGTTAACATTTTATTCTTGAATTTCGTAATTGTTATGGATTTTCTCACATTGCATCCACACAAAAAAAAAGAATTGGAAAACGAATGGCTTTTTCAAAACCATAATCTTAACAAAATAAGACTAACTTGAGTTGAATTGTTTATGCATTTAGATCACGAATTATTTTGTTGAATGAAATTTATTTATTGACGGCTATGTCAATATTAATGTTGCAAACGTCTCGAATTACCATTGATCTCTACAGAGAATTAAATAAATAAATTAAATTATTTTTTTGAGATTGACATTTGGATAATTGCGAGAGGTGAAACACTAATAGAGCCAAAATTTTAATTAAATTATTTTGATTAAATTATTATTTTGTATATATGTATGTAAATGTTATACTTACTTAAAACAACGACATAATGAAATGTAATTTGCAAGAATGATTGTCTTTTGAATGAATATAATGATTAAAGTCATCGGTTGTGAAAAGAAAAAGGAAATTGCCACGGATTGTTTCTTTCATGCTCCAAGTGTGCTTTGTTCCTTTGACATCTCATCTTTATTACAATACAATATATACATGTTTTTTTTCTTTTTGTTTTGTTTTTTCTTCTTTATTATTAATATTGGCAGCTTTGCGAACCAACTGAAACTGTACAGCAATGGATGAAACACTGGCAGCATTTTATTTCACTCATCCATGATGAATTGTTATCATTAATTTCATACACATTCACAATCCCATTCACAATTATGTACAGACAAAAGTAGAGGATAATTGTCTTTCCTCTTTTCATTGCCTTCATTCGTTTCAAGATTATTCAAATTTCTTCGAATGATTTCATCTCAAGATTTGAATCTCCTTTGAGGAGATCGATTCAAAACTCATGACCGCAATTCACAGAGTTTGCATAAACGAGTCGCTAATTTCATTAAATTTTCCGTAAAATTGTAATTTTTTAATTTGCCATATAAAAAGTAAATGGAGATATTGCATGCAAATTGTTTCTACCGTACAATTATAGTTTATACAATAATCTCGGAGAGTATAATATGGAGAGGAACTGAAAGTTCATTTTTTGCAACTCGAAAACAGAAATGAAGACCAGCTCACGGGGCTGCCTTGGAATCGTTTAATCTCGAGACGAATTCATAATTAGTGGAATAAGATAAGTAAATTTCGGGCATTGTATCATTTGAATACCAATTCAAGGAATATCTGAAGAAACACAAAGTCCTGCACAATTAAGCTGAAGATCTCGTCGCTAGAAATTCTATTCGACCACCACATAAAATTAATGATGAATTCTCTTCAACTTACTCGTACCTGAGATACTTTTCGTGTTTTTTTCTAGTCTCATCAGTGCAAAAATCCATAGTTTTAGTTTGACATTTTATTACAAAAATAATAATAAATGCGAATTCTCACGCGAAGAATTAAATATAGTGCATTGGATAGTCATTTAAAAGGCATATTCTATAACCAAGATCAAATATTGATTATACTGAGATTTAAAAAACCTATTCCTCACTCATGGGCTCCTATTGTGTATTTGGAATCTTTTGATGACTCTAGTTTCGAGAAATGCTTGAATGTGTATCACGAGAGTCATCGTTTTCACTGGCTTTCTTCTTGATTAAATTACGTTGTTTTTTATTGAAAATGCATGCGTAATTTAAAATGCTCGCCATATCTACGAAAGAAAAACATGCTCGGTGCAGCAGCACAAAGACTATTTAAGAAGGTACCATCACTTTTTAGCCAAAATTATCGGTTTTTTAATTTTCTGGCGAACTGCTGATGGGATTAACTGAATAAAATATACCGTTCTTACATTTTATCATTATTTCACGACTCAGGAAGTTTCATAACAATAGATTTAATAGATTTCCTGTGTTTTTTCTAAAGTTTTATGAAGTTTCGAGAGGTTTAAAAAAAACGCAGGAAAATTATTACACGAGTCATTAAACAATGATGAAATGCGAAAATCGTATATTTTTTGCGTTTTGCTGATCAATAACTTATCAAAAAACTTTTAAAAAAAACTGTGAATTTTGGCTAGGAGGGACCAGAACGTCCCTGCACTGGAAAAAATTTTTTTTCAACAACTATGTTGTTAGCATTTCAGAGCATAACAGATATACTACAACTCTTCTAACTTCTTCCAATATTCCAACCAAAAAAAAAAGAATATAAAAGCATCTAAATGATAAATTAATAAACTTGAATGACAACATTTTTTTGATATTTTTTTTTGTTTTTGTTTCTGATGAATTTTCTTTTTTTAACAAAATAAATAAGACAAAAGTCTAGCGTTTAACATTTTATAACGTAACTGCAACGCCGAACACAATTTCACCGGAATTTCGATTGTTTATTTTATCGTCCGCACTAATTTCTGACTGGGTTCGATGACTTGGAAACAAAAGCAATGTAATGTCCTTGTTCGACGTTTATCCTTAGTATCAATTTACACTGTGCAGCGTAATAATAATAGGACATGCTGTCAAGATTTATAATAGATTGTAATTGGTGATTGAGTTTGACCAACCGTGGAGAGTACGGCTGTCAATGAGACACTGCTACGTGGAGCCAGCAAAAAGTGCTGTGAGACCTGTATCTGCTGCATTCTTCGATAATTCATCAGTACGCATCTGCGGTGGTTTACTTACTTCGAGACGGGGTAAATTATCTATTTTTATCTCTTTCCGGAATAACTGTCCTACACTTCTACCGATTAACTGCAACAAAAAACAATTACACATTGTTGAAAAATTTTCACAATAATAAAGTCATTCCCTCATTTTTCTTCGAGTTTAAATGAATTCATGTCATTACTACAAGAAGCTCGAAGACGTCAACCAGGTGGTGATTTTTTTCAGAAATAATTTCTTATTCTTTAAGAACAGAATGCATCATAGCAGTCTCAATCAGATATCAACAACATAAACTTCAAAACAATCGATCATTAACCTTTTTCAATTCTCTCAATTGATCGTGACTGTACAAAAAAAAAAAAACAAAAAGCAGAAACGTTGTTTTTACACATCGAAATCTTATTTTCTATTTCCCACCGAAAATTTGTCACAGTAACTGAAAGAATCCTAAATTCTGAATGTTTCAATTAAAAACTTCAATTAAAAAATTAGTCATCCAAATATGAAAAATTGAAGGCTTAGAACCGAATGATTACAGATCTTCCTTTCGGAAGTAATAATATTCCAGTGGAGTTAGAATTTATGCTATTGCAGGTTTAATAAAAAGTGTCTTTACAACACCAGGCTAAACATGTCCTACCTGATTAGTAATTTTCTTGAACAACTCTTTCTTCCCCTTCTCGACCTTATTTCCTTTGCTGCTGACTGTGGCCATCTTCTCATCAAACCTCTGCAGATCAGCGGGATTTACTCCCGGGATCTGCTGCATGACCTGAATAATATTAGGAAATTTGGGTCTGAGGCACTCGTAAACCTGAGCCCCCAGAGTTATCAGTGATCCCTGATTGGCCTCATGCTGTCCATGCAGCTGAAGCCCCTGAAGTACGGCAACCATAATATGAGCAGCCATAGCTGGAGTGAGACTGCCATCAGCCACCAGTGCTCTCACGATGGGTCCAGTCAGCATAGTAGCTTTAAGACTAGCATTGGAGTCATTCCACGACAATGCTCCAAGTACACAGAGAACAATACTGTGACACGTCGAAGGATGCCTCAGAACAAAAGCCCCAAGCTCACTGACAACTTCAGCAACGATGCTGTTCCCTCTGACAGCTGGAGACGGTGTAATCTGATCGACAGCCATTCCAGAGCTGTCATCCATGGTAGAATCAGGAGGTGCAGCATCACTCGTTGTTCCTCCAACTAGAGTCACCTTCAATACGTCTACAAAGTCTCTCGTTAAATTTCTATTGAGCATATCATCGAGGACTTCCTGTGCATCCGTTGGATTATCGTCGTCATGGCCATACCTTTCCTCATGCAGTCTAGTCAAGTACTGCCACTTTGCACTCAGTCTCTGGCACATGTGTGTCGAGACATGTGTCAATATCGGTACCAGTACACTCTCGTAAAAAGCTGGTAAACACGAGTAAATGAAAGGCTTCAAAAAAACTCGGATTATTGGGCGCAGTCGATAATCAGGGATGAGTTCCATGTTAGAAAAAACGGAATTGAGTAGCGCTGGTGCAAGCCCAGGCAATTGATAGAAATCTCTGCCAAGTGTGTGGCAACCACTACCAAGCATGTGATAACAGTTATCGTGGATTGATGACAAAAATTGTTGCATTCTTGATAGTGGAGGAGTTGAGGATTGATCGTTGTGATCTGAATTCGACTGTTCCGCTGGATGCTGGTAAAGATTATTAGCCTGCAGATTGGAAACTGTAATTCCCATAAGATGAATCTTCTCGTTCTCCAGGAGATCATGTGCCTTTTTATAATCATCTGCCAATAACGTCAATGCAGTTGGTGTAAAAAATGCATTGATGGCTCTCAGTAGAGCGAACAGAGTAGGTAAAATGGGGATGATGTGAGGAGCAGCTGGATTCCGGTAGACTGGATTTCCGCTTTCACTCAAAGCAGCAACAAATCCACCCCGAGCAGCACGATCAGGATCTTCAGGGATGGAACAACGTTTGACGACACTGAGAACAGTAGAAAGACAATACATCAAGTCCGCTCTGTTCTGAATAATTATCTCTTGCTCAGTGCTCTTATTGTCGGAAGCCACTGCTGGTCTATCTAGTCCTATGAACCTCATCAACTCAACAGGTCCTTTAAAAGCCTCAAGGCCAATGGCTATGAATCTGGGAGAGGCGTCTCCAATGATTTCAGCGATAAATCGAGTCTGTCTTTCATAATCACAAAAATGATTAGAGATTATCAAGAGAGCTTCATGAAGCACCACACTTTCCATCCTCGTTAACTGACTCGAAGTATTTTTTCCCTCATTTCTATTATTATGAACTCTCATTAATCCTCTGACAGTCGTATGAATCTGCTCGAAGACAGGTAAAAGAAGGAGGGGATACTTCAGACCAATTTTAACCATCAGACTCGCAGCATGTCTCCTAACACACTTGGTTGCTTTGGAACGATTTCCTGGTCCTGAGAGTTTTCTGTCCTCGGGACTCTCATAGACAAGAGCTGAGAAAATTTTCTCAAGTACTCGGGGCAGTATGGCAACACCTGGCATCGCCATAGATCCAGTAGACATCGATAAGAATACAAATAGTGCAGAGATGCAGGATAAAAGTGCTGATAGCAGCCAGGGATCATCTGGGGAGTAGCTGAGACATAATTCAAGGAGCTGAAGACCATTCTGCACACTCGGTCGTTCACTCACCAGAAGAATTCTGGAGATAACAGAGTCAAGCGCCTGTGCAAGTGCCTCCCACTCCAAATACTCTGGATCATTTGGATTACTTTTATACCGCAGATTCACCATTCCTTTGGTTATCTTTGCTGTCAACCAGTGTTGAACGTAGGCGAAAGTTACTAATGGAGCTACCATTGTTGCATGACGTACACCCTCCAGTAAATCCATTCGAAAACGATGGAGAAATACTAGGAACTCCTCTTCAGAGTCATAATCACTCAGGCAATAGGCTGTCATTCCGTTGACAGTACCGTAATCATTATTGTGATTGTGATTAACTGGATAAGCGACTTTTATCAATTTTGGTCCTGTATATTCGATGTATTT